AGAAATTTAAATAAAGTTAACAACAATTAGGTCAGACCATCGCGGATGAAGTGAGTGGTCGGAGCGTGGATTGTCTTTGCGGGTTTTAAGAATGGTACGCGCGGAAACTATACGTACAAGTGTTATCTCCATATGTGTGCGCGCCCACGCACACTGGAATGTTTATTGCAAACAATTCGACCAAAAATTTGATGTAGTTTGGATATTGACATTCAGTTTTTTTTCTTTATTTCTTAAATATAATCAGTATCAGTAAAAGGTAAAAGTAAAAGTGTTATTTTTACCGGTACAAGTTTAACAAACATGAGTAATAAACAAATTACATGCCAATAGCATCGCTTTATCTCCTTCATTTTTGTTTGAAATAGAAAAGTACTTTAACGGTCAAACTCATTAGTCCAAGGCAATATCAAAAAGTACCTAATAACTACGGCGATAGAGTTTAATTACATGTGCTTCGATATTAAAATTAAAAAGTTTAAATATCAAAAAAAAAATAGTGGCTTGGGATATGAACCGCCGACCTTACGTACCAACGGCGGCGAACGGTAAGGCCACGAGACCAAACTAGCATATATGATGACAAACTTAAATTTGATGTTGGTTTTATCTACCTAATATCTGTCATCCGCGTCGAACACTTTTAGTAAATTTTGAAAAATGGTTTGATGCAAAGTGTCAAATGAATGTAACAGAAGTAGTTTATTCCAAATTGTATCACAAGTATATAGAGATAGAGTTCAATTTTGTCAAATGTACCGATATTTTTGAGCACCTTGACTGCTTCGTTACTTATGACGCTGTGGCTGCTACGATATTTATGAGCATCTTGCATGTACTCATATATTTGACGCTGTGTATGTACCGATGTATTTGAGCAGGGTGAATGTATCTATTATTTTGAGGACTTTTGTTGTACCGATATAATTGATTACTTTTGATGTACCTATATATTTGCATATCTTGTCTGTTACGATCTATATGACGCTGACTGTACATAAGCTAACCTTTAAAAGTCCGCCAAAGTCTAAATAACAATATTTGATGTAGAAATTTTTTCCACATATGATAATGTATTACTATTGCAGCAATGATAAAGCGTTATGTTACATTGCAAATTATGCCTTCAGGTTTAATCATAAGATTCAAATTTAATTGTCATTCATTCACTTGCCACCATATGGCAGATATTGATTGTCAATCAATCTCATGTGTTTGAAATTGATATCACATGAAGGTCTTGATTACAAACAATTGATTCCAAATTATACTAATATTGTAAATGCGAATGTTCCATAGATTCATGTTTGTGAGAAGTTATAGAATGACTGCATGGATCTTGCTGAAATTTTACATAGATGTACAACATAGACTGGAAGAACTTGTTTATATTAAAAGCTAGTGGAATAATAAATGTGTAAACTATCGTATCATGACATCATCATCATTAAAATATACTTTTTATCTTTTTTAAGTTATTAAGTGACAAAATACTTTTATTTGTCGAAAGCTTTATAAACAGCTCGTAAACTTTTATAAGTATTCCTAAGTGTAGTGTATGCATAAACGTAGTGTTGTTTGTCTCGAGCGTACACGCCATAAGTACATGCCGGAGAGAGGGGACGTCAGTCGATGTCAGACCTTTGAGCCGGCAACACGTGTCGGTACGTGAACGAGCCAAATATAGCGCAACGAATGCTACACTAAGCATAACAATCCAGTTTCACTTTGTCTAACATGATGGCAATTTCAGCTTTACATTTATTTGTTTTGTATTACATTGCTTGATAAAATCATCATCATTCTCTTCTAACCTTACTCACCACATACACCCGAGTTGACTTCCAGATCGATCTATCTTCCTTCATTCCAGTCTCCTTATTTAATCAAGTCTACCTAATAATCCATCAATCTCTTTCTAAGCCTATTCCTAAAGGTATTGCTAATTAATTTAAACTATTATGTACACAGTGTCTGCCAACAAAGATATTCATTCTATAGTTTGGGTCTGATAACAGATTATTAACAATCTACGTTTTGGACCACATCTAGTATATCTATATCAATAAGACATTTGTAACCAACATACATTTCACGGTCCATCGGCACTTTGCCATGCATATATTTAGCGTGAATTGTCAATTCATATGTAAAGTACTTGACATTGCAATGTTTGAAGAGAAAGCGTCATGACATGCTAACTGTACCTAGTATAAGTCAGGAACGGTAGCGGAGAAAGCAAATTTTATATATTACATACAATCGTTTAAAAAATGGGACCCACCTGCAAGCAAAACGTTTCGATTAAAACAACCACCAATGTCGGAGTTATGCGTTACATATAAAAATACGGAAGATTGAAGCTCCTTTTTGAAGTCGACTAAAAAGTAGCTTGTTTCAGATCAGATGACAAAGCAGATTCTTATATTGCAAATATAACTAACCTAAATTTTACATTTATAAAGTTAATATAACATTAATTAATTATCTAATTACCGAATAAAATAATAATAATCCTTATACGATCTAATATGGCGTGTTAAAGTGACTGTGTAATTATATAAGATTTGATTAACGCGCTTGCACGCAATCTCGCGCTGTGCCTAGTGCATACACGTACCATATGATTATAAAATCGCATAAACAATAACTATTACCAATTTTCCACAAACTATAGTATCACAGAATATTTAGAAATAATTCTTTGGTTTAAATCTGAATTCCTAGTACCATAATTCAAACGTAAAAATATTTTAAATTACTTTTTTCTTTGTTTCCAGAATGCGGGTTATGTGATCAACAGACGTTATACGAAGAGCAAAATGTCACCAGTATGTCACAGCTTCGTGCAAAACGCGTGGAAGAAAGACTTCTGCTCGAACTGCTTCAAATCACGAGAAGAACACGTCAAGCAGGAAAAGACGACGGATGGTAGCAAATATTCTGCGACTCCCTTCCAAAACAGAAGTACATTCTTTAAGAAAACACCACCGAGTATATTAAAGATTACTCCAAAGAAGAAGAACAAGCGTAATGTTCGGTTCCCAGAAGAAGTGTGCAGTGTGATTGGCTTCGGAGGCGATGATTGGTCTGACGAAGAAGAATTCGAAATGTCAGAAGACAACGACGACGAAGATGTATTCCCAGACACAGAAGAGGAAAGAGAATTGTACAAAATTACAAAATCTAACACAGACTTTAATACCGTGAAAGCAAATCTATTGGGAGATTCGGTAGCCAAGTCTTATACTTCGTTGTTGCTTGGCAAAATTCAAACAGATTCCGATGGAAAGAAGAAAACGTTAATGGTGTCCGTAACTCCTTTCGGCCAAGAGAATAAAGGCCCAAATGTTAAGACGCATACTCGAAAACCCGCTGTCATTCATATAAATGAAACGCAAACGGAAGAAGCGGCGAATAATTACAAAACTAATATTATTCTGACGTCTTATATTAAAGAATCGGAGACTATAATTGCTTCAGAAAGTGTTCGATCTACTGAAGGCATTTGCACAGAGAAATCATTGTTGGAAGAAATATCAGAGACATTGCAGCAAAATAGAATGAGCAACACGGACCTTAACTTAAACCACAAGGATAACAATAAGCCTACTGTTATCGAAGAAAAAAGAAAAGAAAGTATGCAAGACGAAGTGGAGAAGAAAGAAATGTCTGAATCGCGGAAAAATGGAATTGTAAGAAAATCTCCCTTAATTAAAACACAGGAAAGACCTAAAGTAAACTTAAGTAGGTCAGAATTCAAATTTTGTAAAATAAACATTGAAAGCGGTAGTGTAGATTCTGCAGTCGGTACTTTAAATTCTACCGCTAATAATTCACTGACATCGGACGATGACAGTTTTAGCGCACGTACCGATTCTGATAATGACGATAGCGGACATTTCTCTGAAACGCACAAATGTGAGGAAACTGTTAAGATAAAGGTGTTTAACGAATCAGAAAAAACGATGAAGATGTCTCCTATTGGACACCTACGAAAAGCCGATGGAAAAGCTGGTAGTGGCTATAGCACGTTTCAGACTCCGATCATAGATATGCCCCCGATTATACCTAAGCAGCCCGATACTGTTTTCTCTGCTGAGGCAAGTAGGGAGTTAGCCGGCGAGCCTGATGGCAGAGCGGATCCTGACGAACCGAGTGAAGCACCCGCTCTGCCCAGCAGTCCAATACCTACCATGGATCCGCGACCATCTTTTCTACACGGAATGATAACCGACATTATGCCATCTAAGCCCACTGTGCCAGAAAAACCGAAAGTACCAACCAAACCAGTTATAAAGCAAACAACTAAGAAGTCTGTGACATCATCCCATCAAACCATGCAAATTCATTCCACAAAGAAAGACGGAGAAGGGAGTAAACATGTAAGCGAAGAAAAACAAAATGGTTCAGAAATACACGAACAAAAAACAGAATCCATATATTATGCGAAACCAGTGCTTACGAAACAAGACAGCGACGTTTCGCTCAATAGTCTTAGCAAACGAAAGGCACCGACACCACCGTTATCTCCAACAGAGGAATTCCCAAATAATTTGTACCAAAGAAATCCAAGCGGATATATGAAATCAGATTCTCCAGTCGTTAGAGAAATGGAGAAGAGAGAAAGAGCCGTAATGTCGTCGACCCCAAAAACCAGAACCGTTGAAGACATTGAAAAGAAAGACTTGCAACCCGAGCCGGCTCCCAGAAGGAGTATATCCCTCTCTCACGATAATTTACTTCTAGATGAAAAGCGCAAAGGAAAGTATAAGTTTTCGATCAAGAAATTATTACGCATTGGTTCTTCAAAAGATTTAGATAAGAAAGAATTAAGTGTGGCGACCGTTACGAAAGTGTCCCCGCACAAGACGGAGGAAATATACGACCTGGCACCGAAGCCGAAACCGCGACTTGTCATCATTCATCCGTTGGACATTAACGGATCAAGCGTCGAAGTGGTGAAATCGAATTGTGAAATTTCGGAAAGTTTACGTCGCATGAGTCACGACGACGTGTCAATTTACAGCGGGTCTAGCTCAGCGACTGACGCAGAGCCTGCAAAGATCGTAAACAAGCCTCCGCCGCCGCCAAGGCTGTCTAGCGAGGACGCCAGTGCTGTACCTGCACCGATCCCAGCACGCCCTCCCCCGCCCAAATCTGCTGCATTGCAGAAGAAACAGAAGCAACAAGCGTGGACGCCTGCAGCATCCAAGTCTGATAGCATCTACGCTAATTTAGGTAAGAATTTTTTTATAAGAATAATGTATTAAAAGCTGTTTACAAATATACTATAGTCACAAATAATGAAACGTGATATAGATATAACATAAACATTTTGTTAATCTATTATTAAAATTTGTAACACGACCTAAGTACCACTATTGAATCTGTTGCTTTGAATTCAAATGTAAACAATTTAACTTTCCAGGCGAGATAAGATCAGCTCTTGCGCCGAGAAAACCCGAACGAACAGCAAGCATGCGCGAACGTGAATCTCATCTGGAGCTTCTGAAACGTAGAACACCTTTAGACGATGACAAAGACGAATCAGACGAACCACAAGAACTAGTCCAAGCTACAAACGATACTGTCATTAACAGCTACGATGACGTCTACAATTCCGGCAAATACGACGAGGAGACTTGTGACTCAGCTAAAAACAGCGACAGTGACTATGAATACGTCCACCACGCTCGGTCAAGCTCGCCTGAGTGCGATGCTGCTATCAAACCCCGAGAACCAAAAATCGAAACCAGAACTGATACCAAAAACGAAGACAATAACACCGAATATCCCAAATATAACAACAGTTTTAACAGATCCTCCATCCCTTACTGCGGAAGCGAGACAGAATCAGAAATATACTCACCATACAGCTTTTACAGTTCGAATGACAATATGGATGGATCTACGAACGATGATTACCAAAATGAGATGACACCAAAGGCCACCACCAATAAACTACGAGTGAGGAAAGGCAGGAGTATTGTACACAAGAATCTTGAGGATAACTACGGAGCTGTTGTTATAGCTAACCACGAAGCATTAGCACAGGTTTTAGAACAGGTAACGTTTGCCATTTGTAATATTAATCTGCATCCCCTAATTTCAAAACGGTAAAGACGAATATATAAATACGCAATGCTTCTTAACTAATAGAAGAGCTTTGTATTCATTTCCAAAGCTTTTGCATTGAACCGAAAGAAGCAATTAAATCTTTTCTTCTTATAATATTATAGGTACATACAAACTGCAATTAAATATATGTTTTCTGAGTTTTTATTGGTAAAAAGCTGTTTCCAAATGCATTCATTGTGTTAAACAACTATCGTGTACTACGTAGAGTCTACAATTGTATAAGGATGTGGGGCCCGCATACACTCCGCATATCCTTTATAATCAAATTTAAATCAATCAAATCAAAAACTATACGATTAATATAACTGGGACTTAGTATAATAACAAAATGAATCAATGATTATTAAAATTAAATCGTCAAAACAAAATTTGTATAAAATTTAGGAAATAAGAATGCAAACAGACTCGCTAAACCTAATCTATCTGATCTTCGTATTTACGTAGTAAAAACAAATTTCAGGTACAACAAAGTGCTACAATGCAACCATCTCTCCGAGGTCTTAAAGCTTGCACCAACTTACGCTGGAGTGACTTCACAATTCAACCTCAGAGTAAAGGTCTCACAAGAGCGGGCAAGCGAGTCTTTCATCCTGCAGTGTGGAACTCCAACCAGGGTCCGGTGCAGGTCACCTTGATGCTGTACAAGGAGCAGCTGGCCTCACAAATGGTGTGCCAGCAATCGCTGCAGCCGACCCTCAGCCTGAACGCAGTCACCGAGTTCTGTGACCTGGTGCCTCTACAGCATTTCGGGGAAGAGGGAGATGATCTGGTGCAAGGTGAGTGTTTTGGACAATTACGTCGATTTAGTTTATCTTATAAGTTATAGCTTTGAATACATATTAACTTAAGTTTCGATTTGTGTTGTCATTGTTATATGGGCAAATAGCCAAATTTTGCGTAACCTAGTTGGCTAAAAACTTTGTAAAATATTGTGTCTTCATCACTTTAAGTGTTTTGAATCACATTCTTAAGCTAAATAATTTTGTTCTGAATAATATTTACTATCTCTAGACCTATAGACAATCACCATTCTCTACCTGTAGTCATAATTATAGAATTACGAGTAGTGTAAAGAAGCCATTGCATAATATAGTTTAAAATGAAATTACTACAACTTTAAACTTCCAAGATATTAAAACTTTGTTCTCACAGAACCATTTTTCTTCCAGCAACAATCGTAGTGTTAGGTCAGGCGCAGGTAGACACTTTGCAGTCATACGGGGAGTCGCTGCACAGCGGCGAGGGTCACAGCAAAGACCACCAGCTCGTCGCTACTGAGCAGACGCACGAGGCCATATTCATGTTACTTCAGCTCATCAACGGTCTCAAGTGCCTGCAGGCGCGCGGTGTCGAGGAGATATCGGAAGCTCTCACCTCCTTCATTTCGCTCAAAGAGATCCAACCCCTCACCTCTCACGGCAGCACACTGAACCTGCCCTCGCCTGATGACAGACTCAACTCTCTCTGGGCGCCGAAGACTAACTCTTATGGAAGACTTTGCGTCTTACAAGGGTCAGTATTAATTTTGTGAAGCTAATTTAAACTCAAAAATTAATCCTAATTTCTTACGAATTTACGGTTTAGATTTTTGTCTGTCTGTCCGTCCGCTAGGCCACGTTTGTTCTGGATAATCTCCAGAACGGCTAGACCAATTTTATCGGGATTTTGACGAAGAGGTAGCTAAAGCTCCGGGGCATATATATAAAGCTGCTTTTTTAAATACTAAGATTACGAAGTTGCGGGAGACCGCTAGTATTTAAATAATATGGTTGAAGTGATATCAAAGTATATGCATTTTAAATACATGCAGTTATGATAGTCAGATAATAAAAACCAAGCAAGTAGAAAGATAACTAAATTCCCTTGTCATTTGTATACGTAAAGTTAATTGAAATTAAAAAAAAATCATTTTATATTTCAGTTTGAGTGACGAGATAAACAACGGTAAGTCGAACGAAGGTGAACATCACAGTTCTCTGTGCAAATGCGCGATAATGGCCGTCGACATCCTCCTGCCGGGAGAGAAGCTGACACCATTGCTAAAGGAAGTTCTACAAGAGGAGAGAGCTGTCTCCTTGAATCAGGCCAAATCTGTCTTGGAATTTATGTTATGGGGACCTTTGGATGTCGTCCAAGGTGTTCCAGTTGAAGAAAGAGAACTATCTCTTCAGAGATGGTTGGATTTAGAACGAGCGACAGTTTTACATGGTCTTGTTAGAACAAGAGTGCAGTTGAACGTTTTCGAACAACTGCATCTAATGTTTTTGGTGAGATCCACAGCGAAAGCAATGTGCGACGCGTCTGTACTCTTAGAGAAAGCTAATGTATACTAATTTTGTATATTTTATTTAAGTTTTGAAATGGATGCCGTTATGAATTATATTTTTATGATTACTTTTAATGTATGGTCCTTCGAGCCGGATTCGAAAAATTGAACGAAGTTAATTGATTATATCAGGTTTGTTTATGACGCATGTGGTATTGTAAAATGTAGATAGACGCACAAAGATATAAGGCATCCATATTTAGATTTAAATAAAATAGTAGGCACCTTAAGACTTATCGTATTTTAATATTTTATTTCCATTGAGAAAATTAGGAACACTCAATTGATAGAAATTATATGATCGAAAGAAAAAATCGTTTGTAGGGAACCTAATACGATGTTCATATTAAAGTTTTGTATACTCATAATATTCCGGTGCCTTATCTTGTATAATACACAAGCTTATTGTAAATTTATATTGTAATTTATTTTAATATTATAAATATTTTAGTGCTCGATTCGACTTCAGTGCAAAAATGTTTAATCTTATTTTATAAATATTCATCGAATATAAATGTTTCTTATCATAAATGAAGTTTTATTTTTTAAAAATTCCTGAAATCATAAAGAAAATGTTAAGGGAGAGATTCCCGATCACGTCGGGGGTTCGAATCCCGCAATTCGACTATTATCAACCATGTCCTAGCATAAGCATAGAAGTTAGTTTGAATGGTAAAAGAAATATTAGGATATTGACTAAAATCTGCTTATATTTTATGAAAAAAATACTAAAGTATTACTCAATGGAATATATTACCTAACTGGAAAGCACACTAACGCCCCCCCTAATGTTTTCTTGAACTATTACTGTTTTGTCATTTTTTCCTATGTACATATAAACATTTTCTGCGAACTAACCACCATAGCAGCATCAAATATGAAATGCATTTGGGAAAAAATGAAAAAAATAAATTTTTTCATAACGATTTTATTGTCACTCACCATCACAAGTACCAGATTATACTTTAATCTTAAAACTAAAACGCAACATAAAAAAAACAAGCAAAAAGAATTATATGAAAATATAAGTTCAAAAAAAATTGAGCGATCTCAAATATCAAAGACTAGACAGATACAGATTATAAAATGCGTTGTCTTTTAAAGTTGATTAGTTTAATAGCACTTTTTACTTAATTATAGATTATAAAATAAATATAATATCCAGCCATAAATTTAGGAAAAACTTCTTTAAAAAAATATTAAAAAAATATTTTATTTGTTCGAAAAATCTCAGATAAAAATAAACAAGCAATAATTGAATCAAATTATCTGTAAAAAGCACAAAAAAAATGAAAAAATACAAAATTAGATTCATTTATATTAACGGAATGTATGTACAGGATAAATTCGTACGCGATTGCGAAAAAAATAATTTAAGAAATCTATTCGAGAACAAAAATATCCTATAAAACATTTTCCAATTTAAAAAATATATATAAAAAATGATACTCTTAAGCATAAATTATTTTAAAACAGTAACAATGTAACCTTTTTTTATTTACCCGAACCTAATTGAATATCAGAAAAAAGATAAAATAGAAAAGAATAAACTAGAGTTTTATAAGATTCTTACATATTTTTTTCTATAAAAAATCATATAAACATCTGCAAATATAACATACGCTTACATTTTAATGAATTAGGAACCATTTTTAACAAAAAAAAATCTAAAATTGACATTTTAGAAAAAATAATCTTAATTAAATTTATATACTGTTGCGTAGAAAAACATTTATTGTAATTAATAACAAATATTTAATAATACTTTAAGCGCTTTGGAAACAAAAAAACACAATAAAATAACACGCAACAAAAAAGCAAAAGGCGTAATTTAAACGTACTTTTTCACTTTAAAGTTATTGCCACAAAAAAAACCAAAGAATGCAAATTTTGCATAAACCTTTTCTCAGTGGAAATTATAGGCCAGTTGTCAAGATTTTTAACACTATAGTGTATATATTTAAGATAGATAAGTTTGACAATTCACTAGATATGGGTTGATTAAAATCGGTTATAAAAATTTTGGATTTTCGATTTCGGTTGTTTTCATAGAACTTGCAATCGTATATTTCGTGATCGTTGATTTTGATTTACAATACAAATTAAATTGTTTCTTTCTATGCCAATTGTATTCTTAAAAACTACGTAGAAAAATAAAATATAAAACCAAAGATTGAGATGTTGAGAAATACAAAGAAATGTTTTTAATCTTTTTTTTTTAATTATTTGCTCGAGATATAGCTAAATATCTGTAATCAATTCTAAATAGTATTTATTTGTTCTATTACTATTATTACAAGACCGATTCTCGATACTTCGTAGTTGTTCGTAATGCGCGTACACTCCGACACTATAACATCAATTAAGTACAACATTTATCCTCATACAAAATTAATTCGATACTTTATAGGCGTCAGTTGTCAAACTAATCTATCTTAAATAGACACACTAACAAAAATGTCAAACAACATGACAGTCGATTAACAATTTGACATACAAACATCAAAATAAATTTGTATTTGAAACAATTAATAAATATTTTGTGTGTTATTGCTCTTTTACAACTATTTAATAATAGAATTAAATACATCTTTTTTAGTTTTAAAATGAAAAGTTCGAAAATGTAACCTAAAACACATCTATGATTTTAATCACGATTCTCAAGTTAATAAAAGCAATCGAATACTGCATTTAAAATTAATATTGCTTTGACGTTTGTACTATAATATCAAGAAGGCGCTAGTTGTCTACAGACAGAGAATTAAATTTGGTACCCATCTAAAATTATTCTACGATCAAGTTAAGGGTAGGAGATAAATTTCCTCGACAGTTAGGGAACATACCTATACTACGTGACCTACTACGTGACGTTTTTTTAGTTTTTTTTAAGTTTTTTAAGACTGCATGCGTACTTAAATTACTAGTGAATTATGTATTATGAAAAAAAAACAAGTAACGAGTACGTGACTAAAATCTGAGACCCCCAGATTCTGAGACTGAGCGTAGTATTTTAAAGACACCGCTCCCCCCCCCCCTAAACGGGTCACGTAGTATGCGTACGTTCCCTTATCTTAACATTTGCTTACTGTTAAATTATTGCATTTCTAAACTAATTCAACTGCTCTGTGTAACCTTATTTACTATTTTTTACAATCCCTTATTGAAATAAACATACTGCGGCGGTTTGCCGGACGTGTTCTTTAATATTTCTTCATAGTTCTCCTTTTCAAATCGCTTGATGGTATCTATTGAGAGTTTGCTGGAAGAGAACGTAAGAGAAAGAGATTGAAATATGGAAAAGAGAAGTTAAACACATCTTTTGGTAATTTGTCGGAACTTTACTATAGGAGAATAACCATAGAAACATCTGAACATATTGCTGTCCTTTTCATTCTCTTTGAAGAAATAGAGATAGGAAAGAAATATAGAAAGAAATTACGATTTACTACGATTTTTCTTGTTTATGAATTTAAACTCACCATCTCTGCGGGAAGAGAGCGCACGCTGTCGGCACCATGAATGTTAGGCTGAAATATACAAAAAAAAATCATGTTTAATGTAATAAAAGGTCGTATATATATTTCTAGGTGATAAATTTACAGACATCGTAAAATTAAAAAATATATATTACTAAGACCTTTCAATTAAACCTATTGAATAAACTTTAGGGAACATACCCATACTACGAGACCTATTTTTTTAGTTTCCCTCCCCTCGGTGACCACTCGTAGTACATGCCAAGACCCCCCTCTCCCCCTTTAGTTTTCACGTAGTAATTCTTTTCAATTTCATTTCCATTTAACCTTTTCATTAAAGTTTTGACTTTGGAGTAAACTATTGTCTTCAGTATGATACTCACAACATGCCGACGATGGCGGTCTGCACGAGGATGTGACCTCGCTTGATCCTCTGCATCCAGGGCTTGGGCTCGATGCGCTCCATGATGACCGGCAGCAGCAGCATGCCCGGCGCACACATCACGATCCTGACACACACACGCACACACACCACCATACACATATTATAAAGTAGTTTTCTATGTAACGAATAAACTCAAAAACTACAACACCTAATTCCAAAATTTGTGATCAGAGAGCTGCATTATGCGTTAAGTAACATAGGATATATTTATTACTGGAATTTTTCCTAATTCGGTTCGGACAAAGTCGCGTGAAAAAGCTATAAAATCCAAAGACCTCAATACAAAATATGTAGGAAAAGATTTATTTTTCTTTGATACTAAATATTACGTATATGTAAACAGTATAAAATTAAAAAAGTAGAATAAACTCACCTGGAGGTGACGACTTGTGATATCCCCTTGATGGGCGCGACTTGAGACTTGCCTATCACTTTGCCGCTCTCGTCTGTCACGTCCAGACCTTACGTAACAATACAGATACAGTTAAAGTAATGTTCAGACATTCATGTTCATTCATTAGTTCAGTAAAATACCTAATAGTATTTCATTCTGTCTCATGAGAGGGATGTTGACCCAGTTGGCGGCCGCCACCGCCACGAACGGCACGAACCTCTGCAACGAGACGAAAAACACTTTATAAAGTTAGGAAGAAAATCCGAAACTGTGCCGGTGTACTGGCGCAACACTAGCCTTACTAAAATGTCGACATTTGTTCCCTCACTAATCATTCTAACACTTGTCTTGGTAAAAAATAATGTCTAAAATTAATTAAGCGTCCATAGCCTAATGGTTAAGGATACGGCTATCCGATCACGAGGTCGGGGGTTCGAATCCCGCCATTCGATTCTATTATCGTAAACCATATCCTAGCACAAGACTAAAGCTTAGTTGAAATGGTAAAAGAAATATTAGTAAATATACAAAAAATCTGCTAATATTAAAAAAAAAATTAGATTACGAAAGTATAATTAAAGTCCAAAAAATATACTTAAAATAAAATTTTCACATTCTTACAAAAATTTACTGTTACAATAGTAAAAAGGACACATAAAAAAGATAATTTGTCAACCTTAAATGCTTTGAGCATCGAAGATTTTTAGTAGTACTAGTAATTAACAACTTACTAACGCCCTGGGCTAGATTTCTTTTTTTACCATACATTAGTGACTTGGTTTATGGATTACCAGGGTTATATGACACTGTATAATTCGAGCCCATTTCAGTGTAACGCCCTGGGCGGTCGCCAAATATCCCTAACTTAACGCCGGCCCTGTAGTCACAAATCATCATCAGCTCACTATACATCCCCACTGAGGGGTCGGAGTCTACCCTAAGTTGGGTTTGACTAGGACATAGTCAACTCCCCGAGAGGGAGCTGCCTCGGCAGCTGGCGCAGACGGGGCCGCGTAGGAAAGCGAAATCGGGCCCGTGGCCCCGTCCCGATGCGTTGGAGGAACAGAGATGTTAAGTGGGTATGCCTCCGCTATGGAGGAGAATCCCACATAACTACCGCGTCCCCCCCGGGGCGCGGGGTATGCATAAAGCATTCCTCTCTGAAAAAAAGGCCATAGTCAAGTCAGAAATACTTACCGCTAATATGGGATTAGTAGCACGTTTCTGTATAACAAACTTGAAAGTGAGCGCAGTGGACATGGCGGCCGTCATCGCGGACACGTACGCCACACCCATCTGTGTGGTGGTCAGAGGTGCGTTCGCGTTGCGGTTCGTGTAGTTCACCAGCGCATTGAACGATTGGTTCACCCACTGCCAGAACACCACCGCTGTTGCTGATCTGTATACATATATCTTTATATATTTACGTGATAACTTTGCTACGATTCGATATATGTTATTGACAATTAGGCACAAGCTATGTTCTATTATCATAATCTTAAATAACACACAGCACTTAACACTAGTATTCATACCGATTGTTTTTAATTTCGCGCGGACAAAGTCGCGTTACAAATAGGGTTATGTTGGTATATTTGTTAAGACATAGTATGTCATACTAATATTATAAATGCGAATGTTTAGATAGATAGATGGATGGATGGGTGTTTGTTTGAAGGCATCTCCGGAACGACTTGACGGATCTTGATGTAATTTGACACATATGTAGAACGTAGTCTCGAAGAAGACATATGCTACTCATTAAGTTTTAAATATCCGCGCGGACAGCGTCGCGGGCGACTGCTAGTTTATAAATATATTTAGAGGTCGTTGTTATTAGTAAGAGCCGACCTGTACCACTGCAGCATGGCGCCTGTGGCCAGACAACCGCCAGGCATCTGGAAGGACATCCTGCCGAACACATTTTGCAGCTCGCCACTGTCCGGGTGGAAGGCTGACTCGTACAGCTGCTTGGCGCGCACCACCTGCGACATCGTTGTCCCTTCTGGCTCCTCACCTGCTCTGTGGGCAAGTAAGGCTCGCTACAAACGGACAGAGTATGGTAACTACGAATTTCTAACTTAAGCCTTTTCATAAAAAAAGAAAAAAAAACCATAACCAAATACAGTCAGTCAGACGTCAATTTCAAAGACAATTAGGTAGAAAAAAAAATGTTTTATAAATAAGCTAAGGCTCTAGGGTTTTATTCCAGTGATAACTATATTTTCTAGTAATGAAGAAATCAGCTATTCCTTACAGTTATAAAAAACTTTAACATTTTAAAGAAAACTTTAAGAGTTTTGTTGAGTTTAATTATACTTACTTATATTTCATATATAGGTCTCTGGCTTCGTACAGCTGCTTCTCCGGCACGAAGGTGAGCAAGGGATTGGAGATGAAGGCGAAGTGCCGGAACCGACCCACGAACGTGTTCTGGTCCCACAGTGGCTGTGTTATATCAATCCTCTTCTCAGAAGACATTGTCTATGGACAATAAAACTCTATGGTGCATACGAAAAAACATAGGAACATTACTTTGAGCAGGGGAGAACTTATATTCTGTTAAATTACAGTGTTACATTGTTTCGTCTAATCAGTTTATGTCCATTAATTAAGTAGGTTTTCCACAAAATCGGCGCACATTAATCCATTGTCGATATGTTTGTTGTTCAAAGATTATTTTTAGTTTACAAAAATAGAAAGTTACGACTTAGGGGCCTTCAAGAAAACAGCGTACACCTTCCTTAAAGGCCGGCAACGCATCTGCAGTTCCTATGGCGTTGCGGATGTCCATGGGCATCGGATCAAATAATATTAGGCGATTCGTTGCTCGTTTGCCCACTTCTCCTATATAAAAAATAGAAAAGATTTTGTTCTCTTATTTCGCGAAATGAATATCTGTATTTACTCTTACAAAGATAAGAATTTATGTTAATGATATGCAAGTTGTTATCATATTGACATAAGCTAACGTTATACATAACGTTATATATAACGTTATACATAACGTTATATATATATATATATTCTTGAGATATTTAATAACAAGTCCAAGGTGCAATGTTTATATAAGACTAGCGGACCCGACAGACGTTGTCCTGTCTACACGTCTTTAATTTGAAAATTCGAATATTATTTAAAATTTGACACTGCGATGGTAGCGCCGTCTGTCGGATCCAATGTAAAACATTCCAAAATCAACAACTACTAATAAATTAAAAATTAATTAAAAAAAACATTGTCCAGCGGACAAAATTGTGAATCTAAACCATTCCCAGATCCCCTTGAACACACACAAAAAATTTCATCAAAATCGGTCCAGTCGTTTGAGAGAAGTTCAGTGACATACACACGCACAGAAGAATTATATATATAAAGATAAGTAAATGAAAGGATTGTAAATCTAATCCGTTTATATACTAAATTACAGAGCGTCGGTGGCTCAGTGGTCAAGCACTTGACTTGCAATCTGCAGGTCCTGGGTTCGAATCCCGCCATGTACCAATGTGTTTTTCGATTTCCGATTTACATATGTACATTTATCCGACGTTCTTACGGTTAAGGAAAACATCGTGATGCTGTACATATCTGAGAAGAAATTCAAAGATATTTGTGAAGTCAACCCGCACTTGGCCAGCGTGGTTGACTATGGCCTAATCACCCTTAACTTAGGGTAGGCTCCGAGCCCCTCAGGTGGACGTATGATGATGACTAAATTAAAAATTGACGACATATATTCTAAAAGTAAACATAGTATCAAATACCTGACTACGATTATTCAATAGGATGTTATGTTATTACAGTGACCACTAAAAGCCGGAAAGAGAAACAGTGTACGTTTTTTTTCATACATTAGACAAAGTTTTCAAAACAAGTATTCAGTTTTATTAACAAAGATGAGTGAAAGGTAGACCTAACTGTAAAAAATAAATTAACATGTATCTTATCTATCCGTGTTAACATTTACATTCAAACAAATGAAATTAATCATAAACTTTCATTCGATAAATATAGGAACATATACGCATAGAATGAGAAAACTCCATCTACATATATGGCATTTTTTTAATGCATACAAGACAAAAAAAATGTTACTGGCTGATAAAAGTTTTTTTATTTATTGGTAAAGCAATTTTTATAATTAGGTTTGTAGTTTTTAAGCTAAACCTGAGAATCGCATTTTAGCTGAATCCATTCTTAGCTATGCAGACGTTCAGTAGTAGAGTGAGGTGGGGCCACCGCCCAGGGCGCAGAGCACAAGGGGCACCTGCTTTGCTCCATAAGATAGGGTATCTTTGCAACATATCCCCGGACACTAAATAAAGAAGGCGCCGTAAATGTCGCCTATAAGGCCCTGCACACGATAACCGAGTTTCATAGTATTCGTATAGTTTCATCACCACCAACGCTAAAGTTTGTAAACTTAACGTGTGTAACCTGCCTAATTTTACTGCATAAATATAAAATTAATGTTACACGTGTATTTTGTGCAATATATGAAGAAAAATTAATTAAATTCAATGATTTTAATACAAGACATTTTAAGATATTCATTAATGAAACGATAGTTTACATTTATCGATAACATATTTTTGTACAACGCATTTTATTATGTTTTGATTTATAGCCGTTATTAGTTTTGAACACGAAAACCGCATTTTTATCACAATTTTTTTTAAAGTGTCTTTCCATTACGAAACTATTTTCTATTTTTCCATCCGCGTCCGCGATTTCATCCGCGCGAAATTACAAAAAAAAAATAATTAGTAGCCTCTGTGTTCTTCAAGGCTATGTTCTATAATTATGCCAAATTTCATCGTTATCCGTTAAACCGTTGTGAAGACACCTTCAAACAAACATCCATTCATAATATTAGTAAGAAATAAGATTGGTGTCGCGAACGGTGTCATTCGATTCTTATAATAGTGTCATTGTGGTTTAGTAAACTCTTCATGTGTTCATACGTCAATGCTCTATTTCTTTGTTTTAAACATAATGGAGTTAACTTTACTTGTACTATTTCTAAAGGATTAGCATATAAATAGCTATTTTAGTTGCTAGCAATATTGTTCAACAAAATGTTATACGAGCGTGACAACTGTGTGGCATTATATGCTATATTGTAATTACCTCATAAATCAATTAAAAAAAATAAACGTCAAGTAACAAAATTGTGACGTTGACATAACGCGCCAAAAATGTTGCAATCCCAATTACCTTTTTGGCGCGAAAGAATAATTTGAAATAGATAAGTATCCCACATAAGTTGACAAAGAGCAAATGTAATTTGAATTTTCGTAGATTTTAGGAGTAAATTAATTTTGTAACTGTTGAAATTGACATTTCTTAACTTTTAAAAATTTTACCGCAAAACGTAACCGCATTGCGGTAAAAGATTAGGAGGTCTGATTTTACATAAGGTAACTTTTAGCATGTACAAAATTAATATTCAATATATTTTGTTGTATATAACAATTATCATATCAAAAGATTATGTAAAAACACTTCGTGTGTACAAACAAATGGCCAAGAACAAAGTAGTGTGATTAAAGGAAACATTGTAACATTATCTCTTGTTATTTAATTTAACGGTACATATGCAAGGCTTTTTATATTTCTAGAGATATTCAAAACCATTATTCGATAATTACTAAGCTTAGATTTACGTTAACACTAGCTGTCCCCCACGACTCCGTCCACGCTGTATCAAAATAAATTTAATTAGTAGCCTATGTGTACTTCCAGGCTATGTTCTAAATCTGTGCCAAATTTCAGAGAGACCCATACAGCCGTTCTGGAGATACCTTCAAATAAACATTCATCCGTCTAAACATTCACATTAATATATTAGTAAGATAAAAAACCACAACTTTTTAATTGATAAAGTAATTGGCTCATTGCTCAAAATTATTTCTCAAATAATAAATCATCCTGTAAATAGATCTATGACTCTAACATGGTTTATTACTTCTGTCATTATGTACAGTATGATATATATTTGAATAATGGAGATTAATACATTAATTTGTTACAGGCATAACAATTACAAGAATAACATTTAAATTGAGTACAAGGACATTCATCATGTTTTACAGTAAACTGATAGTGGTTATATAAATTAACATATTTACAGTGTGTTAAGTCCTCTGATATAAATTGCATATATTACTTATATTTTTATATAGGATTAAAATTCGGTTATTTTAAATTATATAATTTTTTTATGGATTTGAGACAGAAAATAGAATGATAGAAATTCCAAATGAATACAGTATATGAAAAGATTTTATCCTATAATATTTTAATATTATTATTCTGTTATAATTTCTAATCCTTGAATTTAATTTAGGCCGAAAAAAACGATAATAGGAAGGAAACCAATATCTTATTTTACGCTAACATAGATTATGTAAGTAGCAAAGTATAGAAATAAACTTAATAAATAACCATTAGTTATGGAAAGATAATTACTCACTGTGTTTTATTTAGTCGTATTAAGTACTTTTAACTTAAAAACGGCAAATTTGCGAAATCGCAAAATCAAAAACGACTGTACACCACGAACTTAACTGTCAGATAGAAATTGTCAAGCTATGAGCTGTCAAAGCCATATGATATGAAGTTGTCTTTGGTTCCGCTAAATAACAGTTATTTTCGTAGAGTAATCGTTATAACGTTATAAAAGCAGTTCACGATGATTTTAAAGGAGCGTTTACACTGACATCATTGATCATTATCAAATATCAAAGTTACTTATTTGAGAAGACTTTGATTATTGTATGCTGTGTTTTATTATGAGTGGTGGAATGTTCCACAACAGTGCATGTTTAATTTTGTATGATAAAACTGGTGACCTTTATATTAAGAATTGAAACATTTTAATCTCTTGTATACATAAATAAAAATGTAGTAGTAAATTGAGAGTTTATAAGTCGACGATCTTCTAGTTATGACCTTGTTCTTTTGAATTGTTCGGGCTTCAGGATAAAAAGCGATCTTTTTAAAGTAAGGACAAAGGGCACAATTTTTTTCTAATGATCTGTCTATTCTATTTTCATAATATTGTACAATGAAGACTCTATGGCCAAGGACTGAGAAAAGAATATGGCGGCTGTCGTGCCAACAGCCGATATGATGATTCAAAAGAATTCCCAAATATTAGTAAATGTTGAGGAAGCACTGGTCGATTTACTAGTTGTGTCGTATTGTACTGAAGATAAAAAATTTCAGGGTGTGCTTTTGGACTCCAGTAAAGGGTTGGTATTGGAATAATGCTTCTGAAATATTAGTCGATTTTTGAAGAATTCCTAGTTTCCTTCTAATTGCTCATTCTTTTACAGTAATTTGCCTTTTGGCGTGTATAGTCTACATCCAGCTTTTAATAAAGAGACTGAATCCACCGATAAAAAAGATGAAAAATTACATTCCGTTAGTCAAAGATTTACTTACCAAGAGCCTCAATATGGAGATGAGGATGGCCAAAAGACAAAGAAACTCGGACCCAAGGGTAAGCCTCAGCCTAGACAAAAGATGACGGTAAGATTAAGGCCTAGGAAAGTACTATGCTCGAATTGCCAAGGGATATGCAACGAAAATAATGAAAATGTGGACGTGTCTAAAAAACGGAAACTAGACAGCAGTGACGACACTCCTCAAAATGGCTCCGGGCAACAGAAGGTCGAGAAAAAATATTTAATGAACAGCATGCTAATACCTAAACTAACAAGGCTTGAGGAAAGTGAACTGAGTGCTTTAAAAACAAGTGAGAAAAAATTAAAAAGTATAAAAAGTGAAAAATCGGAAGTGAGTGAGACTACACGTGAGTTAGCATTTGTTAGTGTTTCTGATCATAATAATGTCTGTGATGATAGTGAATTAAAGGAAGATAATGACGCGTCATTTAATTCATTGTTCTCCAACGCGCGGACTTTAAAGATATGCTTTGGTGAAGGCGAGGGCACTGTGGTCAAAATTCCTCCACTCACCGGAGACTATAATGAAGACTCAGGTGTGTCCTGTGATATGGGAAAGCCTGATTCCAAAGCTGTTAAAAAAGCTTTAAAGAAAGCTAAAAAACAAGCTAAAAAGATAAATACCTCAGATAAAGATGAAGAAAGCAACACAACTTCCCCAAAACACATTGGTGCGTTGTCACCTCACAATAACATGTCAGATAACCCAACATCAGATCCATTAGAGAAGAAACACAAGCATAAAATAAAACACAAGAAGAAACGTAAAGTGACAAAGAAACGAGATGAAAACAGTAGCAAAAGTGATGACAGTATGGACTATTTTAGTAATATAAAAGAGCACTGCCTGAAACAAAAACTGTCTATTAGTCTGCGTAGGTTGAGCAGCAATTCCTATGAAAAACAAACTGAACAAGAGACTGATTCTGAGGACCTGGAAAATGAAACAGTTCCAGATTTCCCTGCAAACTCAATGGAAGGTATCGGAGGAAAGTTATTAAGGGTATCACCAGGTGATATAGTTTGGGGGAAGGTGGTTGGTTTCCCATGGTGGCCGGGTAGAGTGCTGAGTGTCACACAAACTTCCAGAGCTCATGTTTCTTGGTTTGCATCAAGTTCATCATCTTTGATGCCCTTTGACAGTTTATGTCCATTTCTAGAAGATTATAAGGTGCATATTTCTATATATTTGATATTAGCCAGCTTCCTATCATATAGAACACTGTTAAATGTACAATATTTACATACACTTCATTTTCCTTTTCAAAGAATATTTTGTCAAAGGAAAATAGATGTAATATTCGTAAATTTGTCCATAAATTGACACCTTCACATGTAACTTATGAGATGCTCAATTAACAATAGAAATATGTAGTAAATAAAGAAAATTGTGGACTAATTAACTTGAATATTCACTCCTATCATTGTAGAGAAACTATAAATAACCATTTAATTCAAAGCAAGACCTTGATGTAAATTTATTATATAATAAATAAAATAATATTTAATTTCCAGATACGATTCAATAAAAAGAAAAAAGGTGCATACAAAGAAGCTGTAAAGGAAGCTACCATTGAAGCAAGAAGATTAGAATCTCATATGGACCCATTGGCCAGCCCGACACACGCTAACCTGACCACAGTCTCCCCACGACCTATTGATGTGTTCTCATAATTGTGATTGTAGTCTATTCTATATTCAATGAAAAGAGTTACATCTGTTAAGATGTGACCATTTTCATCAGATAGTATTTGTATCCGAATTTGAAATTGATGTGATAATTCCGTAGGCACAAGTTAATTGACCATTTAAGGTGAGTTTGCAATGTCATAGTATCTGTATATTGTTGTCTTTGTTATTCTCTTTGAAAGATATAGAGATAGCAATAATGTGTGTTGACAGTATATATTCACACTTAGGTTAATTTTCTTATATAAATATGTGATTTAATCAGTGATAATGTTTGTCTTTGTCATCGTCATATTATTTCTGTCGTGTACTACTAACCATAGGTTTCTGAAACCTAGATATCTGTAAAAAATATATCATCCAATCCATCAATCTTATGTTTTAAACTAGGATTTTGGTCTCAGAAACCCATGGTAAATGAACCAACATTTATTTCCAAATAAATTGTCTCGACCAATCAAATACTTTGATGTTGTGCGAGACAGGTATGAAGTATTCTGCATCGGAGAAGTGAGATGTTTAAAATAAGGTTCAATTTCAGTCCCCTTCCCATTTTATAGTAGTAAAAGGATGGGAAAGGAATGCGATAAGCAGAAGAGGGATTAATTGGAATCAGAAATATCTTTTTTCTGTACAACATTTCTATTTTCTACTGTAAAAGTATGGCAAAATTTCCTACTGCTTTTAATTTTAATGTAAAAGTTTTTTTGAAACCTATTTACTTTCTTTATGCAATATTTTTTTTGCATGAATATTTAATTAGATAATTTTTAAATCATGTTTATGATTTCGTGTGCATTTATATCTAGAAAACTGTAGTAAATCTAAAAACATTTTTAACAAGATAAAATCTATTAAGTAATTATTGCAAAATTTCATCGATGATGTCATTTGGTACCCATAGCAAGGACTAGAAGCATTTTATTCTTAAAAAAAAAAAAATTGTACTTATAAAAAAAGAAATGTTACCAGTAATTGGTGTTTAAGAATAAATTCTCCATATTTTTTAGTTAATTGAGCATTAATTTTTTTTTTAATTTTTTCATCTATTACAATGGCTTTGTTATGTTTTAATATTTTTTATATTTTCTGTTTATATTAAAAATGGCCATGTTATATAGTTTAATAATTCTTGATTGGGTAGTTATTTAGTTTTGTTGCCATTCCTTTGAATTTAGTGATTTTTTTATATATTTCTCTGTATCATTCACGGTATATTTGGTTTTTAATCTGAAGATTTAGCTTAAATGTAGACAAAAAAAAATATTAAAGCTAAAAATGTCTTTGATAACTATTAATTTCTCTTAACTTCAGATTCAAAGATTTATGTGTATTTTAAATATGGAAATTGTTTTTTTTTTATTTTGTAGAAAATTCTTGATTCCTGTTCAATAAAATTGTTATTTATTTTTAAGATAAAAACATATTATACTATAAGCATTCAGATTTCGTTATACAAGCTAACTAAGATTATAAAAATCTTTGCCTAGGAGCAATTAATTTGATGTTAATCACTTTCTAAAGGACGCAAAGAAATTAGTCCCATATTTTTCAATATGGCGAAGTTTTTTATATCTCTGGTCAGGCTATAGTTTATATTTTTTGATTTTTTTTGGGTGAAAATGAATTCATAAATTAAATTATTGCCAGTAAAAAAAATAAAAGCAATTAGGTGAATATTTATGCTCAAAATTTTAATTTTTTATTTTGCATGAAAATGAAATCTGGTTGTATTATAAATTTTGCGTTTTTTTTTATGTGTGCTTATTTTACCAGGTACTTCAACAAAGATAAAAAGACACACATATTAATTAACTATAATTTTAAATTAAATATAATAAATACAAAAATATTATAATAGAAAATGTAAATTTTACGGGTGATAAAAGCATTTGTAGGCGAAAACATTAGACAAAAATGTATGTTTAATATAAAAAAATATTTTATAATATCAGTTACCTTATCGCTAAATATTTATAAGTTTTAAGGTAGAAAAAAAATAAAAAATATTTTTTTTTGTAGAAAAAAATTAAAAAATATTTTTTTTGTAGATTTTTTTTCTGGATAATGTACTTATTCGAAAAACACGTTTCCCCAACGAGATGTGTATTATGAATGTTTTAAAATATACAAATTCCTAAAATATATATATGCCAAAGTTTAATGATCTTTGTCATATACTTACAAGTATGTGTATTTTTTAAATTTACGTTGATGTATCTATATATAAAACAGATTCCATTGTATGTATAGTTTAAGGCAGTTTAATTTAAATAGATTTAAACTTATTGAAATATTAATTATATTTCTCTATGAAGCCTTACCAACTTCCCATTCCTTTCATACCTATCCATAAATATTCTCTAAACAGCTGTCGCCCGCGACACCGTCCGCGCGGAATTAAAATAAAATTATTGGTCGCAGCTTAATGTTGTATAGCTTAAAGCTTTCCGCTATAAATGGACAATCCAACAAAAAAATAATTTCTCAAATCGGACCGGTACTTCCTGAGATTAGGTCATTTGAAAAATCAAATCTTTCCTCTTAATAACATTAGATATGGGAAGGTGAGCTTTTATTCTATTATAATGATGGAAAATATTTCTATTTTTTAAGGTGACATAATGAGATTACGGTCTAAATTCAATAAGAAAGTAAATGATTGGAAAGGAAACACGAGTTATAAGTAAAACAATCGTCTATACTATTTTTAAATTGATTGTTTGAATTCACTTGAAATGGGGAGAACTAGTGACACAATTTAAATAAAAAACAAGCGCGGAACGCTTACGCATAGTCTGGACGAGCCAGAAATAGCAGAGTGCGGGGGGATGGGTGTCAGAGTGAAGGGGGGTGGCGGGAACATAACATGTCCGCGCTATGTGGACACGCACGTGTATACTGTATGTGCTGTGCATCAGCTGTATAGTCGCGGAGGATGATTTGCAAATTGGTTAGAAAAAGTGTTTAATTATTGAAAATATAATAGCATTGTTAAGTGCAAAGCTAACCTTTTTGAGGAGTATCGAAATGTTCTGTTTGTGTTGTGTCTAGAAGTGAATACAAATATGTGCCTAGGCATAAATATGGGTTGACTTAGGTGAAGACCTACTAGGATTACCACAGTCTGCAAGAAGTTGCAGACTGTGGTAATCCTAGGTACACATGGTTCGGTGTCTGTGTGCAGGCGTGGTGTGCACGGAACCGGAGCGTGCGGCTCGGCTGGCGGCGGCGGTTGACGCGGCGCTCGGCTGCGAGGAGCCCTGCGCCGTGCTGCTGCAGGCTGAGCCGCTAGAGCCGCTCGCTCTGCCACAAACTGTCTGCGATCAGGTGTGGTGTAATTGAACAAAAGCTTAGCTACTAGCAAAAAGAAATACTGAACAGAAAATAAATCACTTGTAACAAGTCCTATTTAGGATTCTAAACATTATTGCGTTGAACAGTACAGTATCACGAAGAGGTAGTGATTTTGCGGCTGCTTAACTTATATTACGATCGTAGGGGGGAGGACTAAGTGCGCTTGTGGGTGATGTGGCAGCACTTCCTGCCGCGGTGCGCGCAGGACTGCCTCTGCTGCTGCCGGCCTCCGCGCCCTCTACCGACGCCGTCTTTGCCTTACAATTGCTGCCGGATCCTGACCTTATTGCTCAGGTATTGCTTTATTCTAAAACAATTTCATACCGACTTATATAGTATATATCAGTAAGGGTAGGCCTAGAACTAGATCGACGGATTGCGAGAAATTTTGCCATTGTTTATCTTGGCTGCACGTTAGCCTGGTGTAAAATGTGCAGGCGTGCGCAGAGGTTTGCGTGGCCAAGGGCTGGAGCAGCGCTGTGCTGTTACACGAGGGAGGCGCGGGGGGCGCAGCTCGGCTGGCTAGTGCCGGCGTAGACATCATACCCCATCAGCTACCGCCGCCGGAAGACGACGCTTTGCTCAGGTATACTTTACAAAAGATTGTTCACCTGTTTATAGGACAATCACTCAAAACGCTTTGCGCGTCTTTTTGTCTATAAAAAGTACTGTTATTGCCAGGAATTTATTGCTGGTATTAAAGAAGTTCGGCGCGACCAACTTTATAATTTGGTGTGAGGCGGAGTGTGCAGTGCGCGTGCTGGACGCGGCGCAGCGCGCGGGACTGCTGGGAGCGCGCCACTCCTACCTGCTGCTCGCGTTAGACTTCCACACTCAGGACCTCGCCGGCTACAGTCACAGCGGTGCCAACATCACCAGTAAGATAGTTCCTGAAATATCTTATACTATCGTACAGAGAGTCGTTAAGATTTCGTAAAAAAAATCTACTAAATATCATTCCTCCTACTGCGCGACCACTTTAAGAAAAGAATGAAGCCCCTGTCTATGTTTATTTTTTTAATTTCTCTAAGGTATACACTTATTTGATCCGGAGTGTGAGCGTGTGACGGAGCTAATGTCGCAGTGGCAGCGAGCATATGCTCGGCGGCTGCAGGAGGCCGCCGGAGCGGAGCCGAGCGCGGCCGCCAGCGAGCTGGTGTTGGCGCACGACGCCGCGCGGGCCGCCGCCGCCGCGCTGCAGTACTTGCAGCTGCCGGCCATCGCGGCCGCCTCCTGCACCGGCTGCGCTGCATTCCACGCTGATACCCTGCTTAATTATATACGATCGGTATATCTCTCATTAGATTAAAACTTGACATAAGAAAGCGAGGATTAACTAAAGCTACTTGAAACTTCATAAAAAACGAATCGTTCAAGATCTAAAAACGATCAACCTATGACATTGTATGGCATAGCATTGTTTTGTTTTGGACATTCTTAACAATGTCTATTTAGTATTATTCACTATTTATTTAGCAGTATAGTGTTATTATCATATTATAATAATTTCATGAATAATTTGTGCAGGAGGAGTGGGGCGGTGTGGGGGGCACGCTGCGGTGGGGTGTGGGCGGGGCGCGTCGTGCGGCGGCGCTGTCAGTGCACGAGCTGCAGCGCGGCGGGCGCGGCGGTGGCGCGCTGGGCTCCCCGCGCCGGCCTCGCCTGGCACCGCCGCACTCAGCCCGCACCCGACCTGCCCTCCGACATCATGACCAACCGCACATTCAACATACTCATCGCACTGGTAACATAACACAACATAACATAGTACAAGATACCTAACAAAGTGCAACGTATCTATATTTTATTTCAGAACGATCCGTACGTAATGATCCAGCAGTCGACGGACCGGCTCTCCGGTAACAACCGGTACGAAGGTTGGTACAATATATCGAATTTAGTAATCTGAAATGGGTATACAATCCTATTACTTTGCCCCACCGGAAAGCTCTAGATCCTAGGTAAGTTAGGAGCGACTAGGCTTTATCGAAATATACTTGACACCAATTTTAATTTGAATCTGGCAAGGATTTGGTTCGTTCTTCGGCTTTCTTAGCTGTCTTGTCCTATGTTATATGTGCAGGCTACTGCATCGAGCTGATAGAGAAGTTGGCCAAGCTGCTGAACTTCAACTACACGTTCATAGAGCAGGAGAACGGTGTGTACGGCAGCTACACGCCAGGTCGCGGCTGGAACGGCATGATGCGTCGCCTCATGGATGATCCTGTAACTAACATGAACTAGCTTACTTATTCCAGGGCCGTATTGGGCGCCCGGTTGCAAGAATCTGGTGCCTCTAAAAGTAGTACCACTATCTGGCGTCCGGGCGCCCATTATTATTTAAAAAGCACTATTTAAAAATTTGATATCACTGCCGTAACAGCTTTATATTGCTATACATTTCAGTATTTTGAAGAAAATGTACATATAACTTTCAACTGCAAAACTGTTAGAAGTACCTGTGATGAGAAGCAATATATTTTGTAAAAACAAAGAATGATATGTTAGAGATTGTGTTATGTTTGTGTGAAGGACATTCACTTCGCGATCACGGACCTGACGATCACGGCGGACCGGGAGCGCGCCGTGGACTTCACCACGCCCTTCATGAACCTCGGCATCAGCATCTTGTTCCGCAAACCTAAGCCGCCAGGACCAGCATTCTTTGCCTTCCTCCTGCCCTTCTCAAGCGGGGTACGTATAACTGACAAACATTCAGATCTACGTCATGTATTATGAAATCTGAAATCATGCCCCAAATTCTGATGAATCAGTTCAAGCAAGTTAAAAGATTCTTTAACCTTGAACAGTGGAGTAAAAATGTTGTAGGCTTGAGATGACACGTCGGGTACGAGAGAACTGTTGTTCTCGGCGTGCCAAATCATATTTCTGGTTAGTACCAGTAGTCATGTTTTGTGGGTTTTTTTTGATGAATTAAGTACTGCAAACATGAATCCTCTATTTTTTGACCACTCTTAAGTAACGTCTAGTGCTGTCTTCAGGAGTACTTGGAGTATATAACTCGTGTTTTCCAGGTATGGGTATGCTTAGGTTTCGCGTACCTGGGCACCTCTCTCGTGCTGTACGTGGTGGGGAGGCTGTGTCCAGAGGAGTGGCAGAACCCCTACCCGTGCATCGAGGACCCCCCAGCCCTCGAGAACCAGTTCACGCTCGCCAACGCGCTCTGGTTCAACCTTGGCGCTGTTCTGCTCCAGGGTTCAGAAATTGCACCCGTGTATGTTTACTTAAACTGTTTTACAAATTACTGAATTTTACTAATAAATGAGAGTAAAGAATAACATCTGTTATAGAAAAACCTTAGAAACCTTAGAAAAACCTTACTGTAGTTTCCATCTATGTGCAAACGTATTTTCATCTCTGTTATTCACAGGGAGAATGAGTGAGACGGCATTTATAGATAACATTCTTTGCACCAGTGCGTACGGTACGCGTGCGGTTGCGAGCGCGTGGTGGCTGTTCGCGCTGGTGATCACCAGCTCGTACACAGCCAACCTGGCCACACTGCTCGCCAAGAAGACCCCCACTGACCTCATACACAACGTGCAGGAGCTCGCAAATAATCCTTACGGAATCAAGTTCGGTGCTAAAGCGGGGGGATCCACTTACACATTCTTTGAGGTATCTTCATACGTTCATAACATTTCATTCTTCATAACATTTATATGTATTTTGCTATCCAAACTTTATTCAAGTTTACAATTTAGCAAAAGCATAATTAGGTTTGAACCTTTTAATATATGTCGGTTTTAAATATAATAATTACTTTTTTATGGTGCATAATTGGAAAGTACACATTTTTGTTAGAAAATTGGTTGTAATTTTCTAGAGTAACGGTTTTTTCAGATTTCTCAAAACGCGCTCTACCAGCAAATGTACCAAAAAATGAAGGATGAAAAGCAGCCGGAGTCCAACGTCGCAGGAATAGAAAAGTAACCTTTTATTTGTTTATCTTATATAATTTTTTAAATCTTTTTTTATACACATTTTGTTTCTATAGAGTGAGGAATGAAAATTACGCCTTCTTCATGGAGTCGACGTCCATAGAGTACAACATAGAGCGACAGTGCGACATCACTATGGTCAGTACAATACTGTTACGTGTGCACTTTGTATGCGCGGTTTACACTAGCAACTCAAATTTATATTTCTACGAAATAGGTAATTTTTTACTTTTTTTTGTAAGGTTGGTGAACCTCTCGATAGCAAGGGTTATGGAATCGCTATGAAGAAAAGTAAGTTTTCAGTTTTATACAATGACTAGTTGTCGTCCGTGACTCCTTCCGTACATACTTAATAGCTTATATGCTCTACCAGGCTATATTCTACATCTATACCGCATGCTCGGTTGCCTTTGTAATATAAAAAAAAAAATACCAAATTGCAGCGAAATCCATGCATCGGTTCTGAAGATTCCTTCTAACAAACTGGATGGATGTATGTTAGAATACATCCAGTCATCCAAGCATTCGCATTTATAATATTAGTAAGATTTTCTCTAAAATCTTTACACGATCGAATGGAAACAGCAAAATATGTCGTTAAATTGTCTGTGTTATTAGTATTGCAATTATTGTAATTGCTGTCCGAATAATAAGAGAGCAATTGGTGGTGCTGAATATGTTTTTATGTAGTGTTGTTGTTGCGGCAGACTCCGAGTATCGTCAGGCGATGAACCTGGCGCTACTGAACCTGCAGGAGGCGGGCGAGCTGCGCGAGATGAAACAGCGCTGGTGGCAGGAGATGCACGGCGGCGGCGCTTGCAAGGTTAACTGACGCTCGTTATCTTCGTCCTCGTTCGTTCAAGACAAAAAACTTGAATTTATTACTTGTTTCGACTTCTCTGGACATTTCAAAACTTCCTATTAAAAGATTATACACTTTTTAGGAAGAAGAGGAGCATGGTGGTGAAGAACTGGACATGAATAGTTTCCTCGGTCTTTTCGTGGTGCTGGTGGTGGGCTGTGCACTGGGCGTGGTGGTCTCCTTCTGTGACCTAGCGTGGGCGGCGGCCAGACATCCTAGAGACCCATCGGAATCCTACAGACGTCGCCTTTGGACTGAAATCCGCTTCGTGTTCAGTCTGGAACGTTCCGAGAAGCCGCTGTACGGGCCACTGTTGCCACCCACTCCGGAGTCTCCTGCCCGGTCTGGGTCTGGTGGTCTCGCTGAGTTGGTCGACTCTGCTTCCCGTGACGGATCCCGGGAAGGGTCGGCGGTATCCGAGGGGTCGCTGGCTGAGGAGATCGGGTCTCGTGGACAATCTCCAAGGCTGCGACCCCGCACCAGTGCTAGACGGTCTTCAATGCATGCGGCTAGTTTGCGCCTGGCTAGACACACCACACCCAGACCTTAGATATTAGCAGATATTTTATTGCTACAACACTTAATAAAATAAAAAAAATAATGTAGTCGGTGCAGCGATTCATTTATGACGTAAATATAAGTGAAAAAAAAAGCAAAATTTTTCACTAAGTATTAAACATACTAACTTCTAGTACTTATCTAATTATCTAGTTTCCTAATTCTAGTCAATTATTAGTAGTAAATAATAAAAACATATTAACATTGTACACTATTTAAATTTAACATAATAAAAAATTACGTTCTATTTTCATTATTCATAATTTTAACATTTTTACATATGGTACGACATTCCATAACGCTTTTATCAAAGAACTTTTACTGGAAGTCTTTGGCTTTCACAAAACAGAATATTTAAAATTAAAGTTCTTTTTTTTAGAATTTATTTCCGATATTAAAAGTTAAAGAAAATAATTTTGTACCTTCACCTGTAGTATTTTTTGAAAAAAAAATTATATTTTTGTTAATAATAAAACCAGGTGACTCATTTCAAACTAGGTTAAGTTAAATAATTGTATGTTATTTACTAATAAATTGATTTCAATAATGTTTTTGATTTTTGAACTTTTTTTCTTTGCGAGGATTTTTGTTCTCAGAATAATTTAAATATATATAAATGTTTCATTGTTATTTCTGAAATATTTACATATTTTGTTCTCAAAAGGGAACAAAAAAGAAAAACATTTGAATCAGTATTTTTTTTAATATCATAAGGTGGCAAACGAGCGAGCGGCCACCTGAAATCGTGACCGTTGCCCATAGACATACGCAATTGCATACGCGTTGCCTACCTTTAATCGACGGAGGAGAGGATGCACAGAAAAAAAATGTTTCCCTTTCCATGCATCCTCTCATCCGGAAAGTCCACTTCCACTTCCCATCCTTTCCTTATAAGAAAAAGGGTGGGAAAGGAAAGAGGACTAAATTAGGCCTCCGGGACGCACACTTATCAGACGAAACGCGGAATAGCTTCCACTTGACGCGTGTCTTCTGTATGGTCGTGGTATTTCACCGGGCGAGTCGGGACAATTCGTGCGAAGATGTTAAAGCGGGCTCTACCACTGTTAAATGTATCTATTATATACACGTTAATATATGATTAATAAATGATGCGCGAACATTCATACGACTATATTTTGTCAGACAAAGCTCTACATGACGCTACGCCGTAGCTCCCCGTAGATGGAACGAATTACGTTTGTGACGTAACACGAATCTTCGTAATATTGACTAATAGTACCTGGATGGCCGAGCTTTGCTCGATATTTTTTTGAATTGTGTTTTTTGGAAATTATAATATATTTAAGTACGAATTACTAATAAAATGATGAAATATGAATAATATTTTTCGATCTTACCGATAGAAAAAGTTAAGTTTATGTTTAAGTTGATTATCGATAAAACACGAATAAAATGACATTTTTTAAAATTGATTCCTAGCTAGATCGATTTATCGCCCCCGAAACCCCCTATATACTAAATTTTATGAAAATCGTTGGAGCCGATTCCGAGATTCCAATTATATATATATATATACAAGAATTGCTCATTTAAAGATATAAGATTAAATAACTCACCCGTACTCAGAGTCTTTAATTGATCCCCCTTACTTAAGGGTTACTTTTAGAGCTTTTTCGACATAAACGAACTTAATATTTAACAATCACCTGACAAACTTTTGACAACCTATTTTCAACACGTGCCAATTTCCAGTTAGGTAACGCGGTCGGACACTTGAACACAACGCTAACAGAAGTGGAAAATGCTATTAAATTAACTAGACTGAGATAAGGATTTCTGTACTCTGGATAAAATAAACAAGGCCAGGAATAGATTTTATACCAATCTTACTAATATTATAAATGCGAAAGTTTAGATGGATGGATGGATGTTGGAAGGTATTTCCAGAAGGGCTGCATGGATCTCGCTGTAATTTTGCATAGATGAAGAAATCATAGCCTGGAAGAACAAGGCAACAACAAGGCAACAATTTTTTTTTTATTAATTACGCGTCGACGGAGTCGCCGACTACAGCCAGTAGTTTTATAAAGTAATGGATGTTTTGTGTGATAGAAATGCTTTGAGAAGCCTAAAATCTATTAAATCATTTCAGCCGTTACATTCAAAAGGATAAGACCACTTTTATTACAAGGAACCACAAAACTATAAAAATATCAGCACAATTCTAACGTATAAAGATCGATATTAGTTTGTGTATAAGTAGTCCATCGGTCAAAGAATCGATGGATTCTACAATAATATAAATGTAGAGTAGAAAACTTAAGAGGAAGTTTGATGTAAGTGGATGATTCGGTTGAGGTCAGATCGTTAGGCAGCAGACGGGCGGGCGCCTGCGGCCGGTCTTCGTGGCAGCTGGTTTCAATGCGCTTGCGTGGCTGCTACTTGTAAAGCGCTTGCGTGACAACATCGAGCGCTCTGCTGGCCCTGGAGGCGGCAGTCCGCGGCCGCAATATGGAGCCGCCGCACGAACCCGCGCCCTTCGCGCCCCCCGCAACCGCCGCGCGGCCCCTCGTACGCCCCGACGAGACTGGCGAGGTCGACACCTCCAGGTCTGTGCCAATCCTTAATCCTTATCTACTGCTATAACGTGAACGAATTTACCTGCAAAATTTATAGTGTTTTTATATAACTGAAAATGTCAATGTTGATATAAGGGTTCTTGAATATTTGGTTTATGGACCTAAGATAAGCTCCATTGATAAATAACGCAAAACTGGTTATCTATTATTATTAAAAACATTATTATTATTATAGAAAACATTATATTTATTACTTAATAATTATTTTAAAATATATGTGTAGTTATCAAATTAGAAAAACCCAATTTCAGATCGTTATGCACTTATAAGTACGCAGAAAATGCAAATTTTTGTCTATAAATGCTTATATGTTATCAGAGTCGGGACTCTCCCCTCTCTCCAGTTGTGACCTAATTCTAACCAACTTGACCCTGACCTAGAAAGCTAGCTCGATCAGAACATTTTCTCATATTTACGACAGATTGATCCATCAATCTTTTAATATATTACACATCGCACTTATAGTTATTAAGTAAGGCTTTAATTGTTGATGTATACAAATCTACACTAAGAGTCTTCCTAAGTGAATCATTAACACTCTTAACGGCAGTAAGAATTACATAAAATGTTGTTTATCTTAAATACGCTATTTATTGCTGTTTGTGATTTCAACGTTACAATACACGGTCATTATTTCAAGATCGGCCTTTATTGATTTCTCCGCAGGTTAGAAAAACAACGACAGCGAATTTTGCATTTAAGCTTTTGATAGCAAAAATGTTTATAAACATACGTATAGAAAATGAAAGAGAAATTTAATTTGGATCAGAAATGGAAAAAAGCATTTTATTTTTTCAAGATAAAAATCAAATCTATAGTCTAACAAAGTTAAACCAAAATCCAGTTAATCGCTTTGAGCTATTCTTTCGTCTTTTTACGTATCCTTCCTTTGTTGAATTAATCCTTAATGTTACAAGAATCTTTTGATCTTTAATTTTGCGAGGAGTTTTCCTGTTGGTAACATCGCATGTATTGATTTGTTGAGGCATGTTTGTGTTTTAACGAAGAGCGAGGTCACAAGCTACCGAACGCTTTAGTGATTTTCTTCCTAATGTTTTTATCATATAACTTCTATTGAGCGTTTATTGCAAAAGTTTTCATGACTTTTTCAGTTCACCGTAAAAAATAAACACGATAACTTTATCTAATAGCGATTTTCAATATAAGAATTGGTACAGATATTGAAATAAAAATCAATTGGCGCAGGTATCCAGCTCCGAAGGATGCGACGCACAAGGTGCGCGGGCGCAGCGACCTGCTGGAATTGATGTGCGGCCCCGGCGCCGTCGACCCAGAACTTCTCACCGTCAAGACATTCTACTTCTTTTTCTACTCCGCATTCGGCTCCCTCTTCCCCTTAATGGGAGTCTACTTCAAGCAGATGGGCATGAACGCCGGACAATGCGGTTTGCTCATCGGGACCCGACCTTTTGTTGAATTCTTGTCGGCTCCATTCTGGGGAGGTCTAGCGGATCGTTGGCAGAAGGGACGCACTTTACTCCTTGCTTCACTTGGCGCTTGGATTATCTTCACGCTGCCACTGAGCTGGGTGCAGCCTAGCGCTGTTGCCTGCATCCACCCGATCAACAAGACTGACTACCGCCTTGATACGCCTAGCTACGACGATGAGTGGACAAAGAACGAGTTTCGCTCCTTCCACAGATCGGCGGCGGCAGCTCACGTCGGCTCGCCGCTTCCCGTAGATGACGCTATCGACTATGATCCAAATATCAACGGCAACTGGGTCACTCCCCTCCACTCCTTTATCGTGTACAGTACGCCAGATATTCAAAAGACCTTCTTTTTACTTCTGTTATTGGTGGTTATTGGCGAATTCTTTAGTGCTCCTGCAATTACTCTTGCGGACTCCGCTGTTATTACCTTGTTAGGAGAGGATGCAGATAGGTGAGTTTCATTTTTACTTTGAGTCTTCGTTGTAACATCAGATAAAAGAATATATTTCATTATGGTGTAGATACGGCCACCAGCGCATGTTCGGCTCGCTGGGCTGGGGTCTAGCGATGTTCTTCGTGGGCATTGCGCTGGACCACAGCACGGCATTCAGCAAGCACCCATGCGGCGGCCCGCAGCGCTACGAGAAGAACTACACCATCTGTTTCGCTACGTTCTCTGTGCTAATGGGAGCAGCCCTTATCACTGCAACACAGGTTTGTTATTTTGGTTACTGGCGATAAATGGCTATAGAATAAGGCTTTCTGCCAGTTTTCGCTGGTTTTCTGAGAGTGCAATCACATCTTGAACTCGATGATACAGGTGAAGTTCAAGTACGAGGAGCTGCCGCCAGAACCGATGGTGACTGCCGCGCCGCAGTCTCCTACTCGCGAGGAGAAGCTGCAGCAGCAGCTAGCGGAACAGCTGCAACTGCCAGGACTCGACACCAGTGCCCCTGCGCGCCCCCAGCCTACACTCGAACAGGCTAAGGTACACCAACAATCGAACAAAGTCAAGTTTAACTATAGGTCAACATTAACTGGTTAATTGAAGAAAACCACCTTCTAATAGGTCAATTTAAAACGGTCTCTGGGCTATGATGCCACAATAAGTTATGATATATCGGTCGCTGTTTTATGAAACTCTCTTTTAACAGCGGAGCCAAAAAGCAGAATAAATTAATTCTTACCTTGAACGATCAATACTTGAAAAACTTGTTCACCTTTTGTTCTAAAAATAACTTTAGCGTCGGTAGAAAGAACCTCAGAAAGCTGAACACGCAAATGAGTTTTTCAGTTCGGTATATTTACTGAGATATTGTTTGTGAGAAAGTCATGGAGAACAGTGATATATAGGTCCCTATTTAAAGGGTGAGCAGAGAAGTTGTATGTTGGTGGTGTGTGTGCAGGTGTTCGCGCAGACGACGCGCGAGATGCCGGAGTGGGTGACAGTGCTGCGCCAGTTCCAGAACGTAAAAGCAGCCTCTTTCTTACTGGTTGCTTGGTTCATGGGCTTCGGCATTGGACTCATCTTTACATTCCTCTTTTGGCATCTGCAGGTCTACTTATTTCATAATTATTTGAATCAAAACTAAAGCCAGTTATTATTTCTCGGTTTTTAAGTTAACAATTTTGATAACAGGATGTCTTTTACTTGTAGGACAAGGGCGGGTCTCCTACGTTGTTCGGCGTTGCTTCAGTCATCAACCACATCTCTGAGATCTTCGCATACTTTTTCAGCTTTAAATTGATCACTCAAATGGGACATGTTAAGGTAGTTTATTTTACTAGTACGATTGGAATTCATCAATAGTGCCCGGTTATGAACTTCATCCAAGTCTTATAAAGTCTTTGATTTCATCTTCAGAGTCAGCTTTGTAATTGTTCAAGTAATGGTTATCATCTTGTTTGGCAGGTGTTGTGCCTTGGTCTTGCTGGCAACGTGCTTCGGTTCCTATACATAGCATGGCTGCCGGATCCGTGGTGGGTGCTGCCTTTCGAGTTCGTGCAGGGTGTGACGCACGCGGCGGTGTGGGCTGCTTGCTGCTCGTATATCGCACACGGTGCTCCGCCGCGCCTCCGTTCCTCCGCTCAGGGCGTGCTACAGGGCCTGCATCACGGCCTCGGCCGCGGCTGCGGTGCCGTGCTCGGCGGCATCGCAGTTACACGATGGGGCACTACAAGGACTTTTGCAGGTACATCCGTACTACAGAAACAATTGGCGTTTTTGCTTTTTCTAGTCCTTATTTAATTCTTCATACTAATCTATGAAGGTGGCAACTGCTCCCACTGATTTATGACTCTTTATCCATATTGAACTCCATATCTAAAAGTATACAACGTAATACAACGTTGCTAATGTTTGTCAGGCTACGGGTTGCTGTGTGGGGTGGCGCTGGCGGCGTTCGCTTTCGTGAACTTCCGTGACGGTGGGGAGGCTACGGGCGGAGCAGGTGCGGGCGGCGAGGCAGAGGACGAGGCGCGCGCGCTGGCAGAGGCGGGCGTGCTGGCGCCGCATGGCGTGCCATCCAATCCGTTGCCTCGCGCGCTCTCCTCCACGCGCCTCGCAGACCTCGCCAACCATGAGTCCTACGGCGCTACACAAGTAAACTTACGCGTTTATCTTCTGCCAAGTTCTCGATTTATATTATATTTATAAATACAAGCTGCGTCTCACTGAACCACTTGTCATTTTGTTGCAGAGCTACGCGGGCGCAGACAGCCTGAGTGTGCCGGGCGCCCCGCCTCCACGACCCTCTAATCCCTTCTTATCCGAGCAGGCCGCTCCCGCCCCCGGTCCCGCATACAGATAAGCGCCCTAGCTGTTCCAGTTAACCAAGTCAACCCTCCATCTAACCTCAAACCCAAGTTAAAAGCACAATGTTGCTCTACTATTAAGTCCATGTAAACCTGATACGTTCTTTGATGTCTTTTTCAATATATAAAGAATTATTATACAACAAATTATATGTCGTAGTAGTGAAAAAAAAAACTATTGTTAGTAATTCCGAGATGTTATTTGTTGTTGCTTTTGTTGGATATTTCATGTTGATCTATCGTCCTATACTTATTAGATGTTAAAGTTTCGTCGACGGATATTTGTTACTTGTAAATAGGCATTACAAACGCTACTGGAATCTGCTGACGACAAACACAGATTAGTTTTTTGAATAAGTAAATTTTGGAACACGCATTCAGTGAAAATAGTCATTAGCGCACGACTAAATCCCACACAAGATTAATTTCATTGTAAATAACCAACTTCCTACAATGAAAGTAGGATTTCATTGTACATATAAAAATAACACCAAATTAAATAGCCGGTAGACCGTTATGTCAATTTTAAGGTTAACTATTTTGTGAAGTTTTCGATTTTTGTAAAATAGCAGTAATAAAATAGACTACAAAATATCTGCCGTGTCACATTAAATAGCAAAGAAATTATTAAAATTATTCATTAAATATTATAACTCAAATGAGCCATGAGAAATATTGAGTCATGATATTATACAAATGCTCATTGAGTCGCAAAGTTCGTCGGCAGTTCATTGAATGTTGCTAAATCTTTGTAATTAAAAATTATTTATAAATGTATGTATGTGAGCTAATTGACGATGTCATATCATTGTGTGATGTGTTAAATGTATGGAGATGGAGTAAAGCGCCTGTTGTCTTAATATTTTGAGCATTATCTTAAATGTTGTATAATTCTAAACGCTTATGTGACGATGCTCAAGGTTACAAGTCTAATAATTTATTGTGGTAATGCCTGAGTGTATTTCTTCTTAGAAATTGTTGAATGAATAATTAAAATAAATAAAATAACAAAAAAAAACATGCACTAAGTAGTATCGGTTTCAAATAATTTTAAAAAAATATGATTTTAAATATTGTCACTCAGTTTCTCAGTTCACGCTCAAATGAGCGTTGAGATTAAAATTTATGAGCATCTATATGTCACGTGACTAAATAAAAATCGGCGCGTTGCTCTATCCAATGATTCTATATTTTTGTTGACTATGTAGTGAATATAAATGATAGCTATATACATATGTATATGTATATATAGGTTTGTTGTGATGTACGTTCGCGGGGAGGCACAGTTATATATTTTTGCACGGCGTCCGCGCGCCTGAGCGCCGGCTCTCAACTTCTGATGTATTACAATCAATGTTGAACTATTCATATTAGCCGTTTTATTTATGTCCCACTAGCTGTTGCCCGCGATTCCGTCCGCGCGGTATTTAAAACATAGTAGCCTGTGTTCTACCAGACATGGTTCTACATCTACGACAAATTTCAGAGAGATCCATACAGCCATTCTAAAGATACTTCAAAAAAACGTCCATCCATCCAATCAAACATTCGCATTTATAATATTAGTAAGATTTTTCCTAATACGCTCAGTACTGCGGTTGAATGAATAGCGTTTCTTAAGTACAGGTCAAAGGGATTCAATTATTAGTTGTCAGTTTTGGTTCATAAATAACAAGAGATTGAGAAAAAAAGTTCGTAAGTAAACCTATTTATTATTTTATAAATTCGCGTGGAAGTTTATTGGCAGTTACAGCTTATTTTATTTTACGATGTAATTAAAAACTAAATCTAATCAAATATCTAGTAATTATTATACAAAAATTGAACACATATCAAATAAAAAACACAATATTAAACAGTCTTAACATTAAACTTTCTCCTAACCTAAAAACCTTTGACCACGACCAGTCTGACAAGACTGCAACGACAATGAAGAAGAAGAGAAAAATCTTTGAAATTTAAAATCAAGAAATTGCTAACAAACTTTTAACACGCTTTAGTTTACATAAAATTAATATGTATGTAAAAGTGTGCAAAGAATCTAACCTAAAAAATTCTAAAAATTTAAAATAATACCACGAGTATACAATATCAAAACTATCTAATATTATAAACTAAATAGTCATCATATTACGTTATGAATTAGACAAACTATTACTGTTATCATTGATTTCCCAAATATGTGTTTGTTCAGATATTACGCCAGTGTAAAGCCATAGTTCCAACAATAACTAAGACTAGACTAGAACAAGTCGTCCGTTCTTGTACGCCGTCCGCAACGGCCGCCTCTCGCTGTCTAAGCTCGTGGTGACGCTGGAAAGACAGATTTAACTAGCTATATTCATAAAATACGTTTCCGTTCTCCTTAATAGTACTCTTTGAAGTATGTCTTCAATGCCATACGTAAAACAGATGGAAATAAATAGAACTACATACTATAATCATTTTAAACACCAAGAAGTAACACTTCAAACTTTAAAATAAGTCAAGCCTTCAGGTTACTTTTGGCAGATGGGCAAAAGTCTTTACTTTTTACTTACTTTGAGGTATTTCATCACTCGTCTCGTGCTAATCATGTAACAACCAGTATTACCTAACATTTTGATCTTCACTTCGCGTTGGTTGTGTCCGTGCAGCCAGCAACAACGACAGCGCGGCGGCGGCGGGCTGCAGCACCAGGAACACCGCCAGTGCGGCCACAGCCACGTACCCGTTGCGCGGCGCGTCCGCCTCCGCCTCCTGCACAATTAACAGTAGTAGCTTATGGGTTATAGGCATCATATTTTACTAAATTTGTACAGTATACCTTAATTAAGTTATTGAGTTTCTGCGGCAGGGGATGCCACTGCGATAGGTCCTGCAGCAGCGGCGCCAAATGCTCCCGTAAGCGCATAGCCCGGCGCAGTTCTTCAGCCTGCGCGGAGTGCGCCCAGCCCGCCAGCCGCACGCCTGTCCACCAGCCCCAAGCTGTTTGCGTGCTCACCATCATCACCATCACGCAGCCGTACTGACAACACAAGTACATCACTAGATACCTGGTTACAACATCGCAGATATTCCGACCGGAAAGGATAATACGGTGATATAAACCGAAGCTCAAATTCGCTCAATCTAACCTTGATTTTTGGATGGAAACTTTTATAGCGATGTCGCACTCGGGCTAAAGGATATACTTTAATAGCGAAAATCGTATAACTCAATGTCCAGATGTATTTTTGGCCTTTAAAATATTACTAGTCCTGCAAATCTTTGATTCAGATTTATGTTAGACTGGGTTATCCTATGCTTAGTACTAATACGAACCATAACAAGCAACAGTCGTCTAGCACGGCGTGAGTACAGCGCTGCAAGCGCTAGATGTGCCAGCAGGAACAACACAATACTAGCTGCAAGCAGCAACGCAGCAGCTGCACGATACTCGTGTGGCAGCAATTCGCGCAAGGGCACATACGTACTTGGGTCCCACTTCAGACGCGCCGCTGTCGCGAATCCCGCACCCGCGTACATCTGCAACGTTACCCTAATATTTACGGTTCCAGTACTAGCGCTGGAGTGCTGGACAGAAGGAGGTGCCACAGGTTCGCGAATTACACAGTCTTACCTAATCCTGTTAAACTTTTTGTCTAAGTTTACGTGTTATTGAGATATAATTAAGGAATTTGGTCTCTTGCACTGCAAGTTAATATTGTTAGAGATAAGATACCACTGAAACAGATTACTAAGCTAAATTTGCCAAATAATAGATAATTTTAATTTAGGTCACGTTAGAATTTTAATATTCCAGTTGACTAAGATTTAAAAGTTAGTTATTTATGAATAATTTTTTTAAACTTTTTCGATTATTTGTTTCAGGCGTATAAAAAAACTATTGGAATCATTTTAGAAATATAACTCTCGCCAAATAATATATAACATCAACTATAATTAAACAATTTTATAGAAATAAAGAGAAAAGAAAACGGTACATTTAATATTCGTAATTCTATGTTTTCTTCACCCAGTGCTCTTGATAAGTCATTAATCAACATACAAATAATCGTTACCAAAACAATCACTAAAGGGATTAACTTGAGATAAACAAAGACCTTTAAACACTTCTAAAGTACGAGAATGTAACCTATTAATATTATAATAACATCTAAAGACCTATGGTATAACTAATATTACGAACCATTAACATGAGATTGAGTTGCAGAAAAATGGCGGGAAGAGCTCGGGCACAACAAGCCATAGTGTTTTCCAAATGTCAATTCATTTAACTCTATGAAATTGCAAGCCAAGCACAGTTTTACCGTCACTTTATTCCATTTATTACCGTAACTTTACCGTCACTTTGATTCACACCATACCGTCTTGTCATTCCGTACAGCCGTGAGAAGATGTAACCAAAGCCTGTCACTTCACACCATGTTACCGTCACTATAAGACCTTGACTGTTTCCTCCGTCACGTTACTTTGTCGCAACGTGGTCGTCGCGTTACTTCACGCCTACGCCTTTGTAAATCGTATGCATGTCTAAACGATTACTGACTGCGAAGTCTTAAGTTTGGTGTTCGTATCTTATCTACGCTATCAGTTATTCTGAAACAGCTGCCGACCGATTATATTATCTGGATTACGTTTTTATATCAGTGATTGCCAAAATTGTAAGAAAACTTCTTGGTAAACAATGAAGTACGCAATGACTCAGTTTACTAAGAAATAAATGCTCTATAAAATCATTGGGAAATTTATCTACTACTACTACTACTAGCTGTCGCACGCGCGGAATGAAGAAAAAACTTAATTAGTTTACGTGTTCTTCAAGACTATGTTCTACATTTATGCTAAATTTCAGCAAGATCTATGCAGCTGTTCTGGATATACCAAACAAACATCCATCCATCGACCAAAACATTCTCATTTATAATATACTAGCAGTCTCCGGCGATTCTGTCCAAAGCGTAATTAAAAATGAACATAAGTGGCCTATGTTCTATACGTATGCCAAATTTTATCGAGATCCATTCAGCCGTTCTGAAGATACCATCAAAAAAACATCCATCCATCCATCCATCTAAACATTCACATTTATAATATTACTAAGATTAAACATACATAACAAACTAAAAGATTTAAGTTTTTAGATATCGTCTGTGAATCATAAAGCCGTGGGTTCGATTCGTTTGCGTTTATTTTAAACAAATTACTATCACAAATTTAATTATGTACTAGGAATCCTTATACTTTTTCTTTTAATCTTTATATTACGTCATTTAATTAGGAAAAAGGTAGAAATAAAAGAGGTTTGTATAAAAATATTATTTTATTGCTTCAAAAGTCTTAACTGCTTAGTGACACGTGACGTGTCAACGCATGTGCGCCTCGCTTACCTCTTATTGTCTACTCGGGTCATCCCGAACGCACCTTATTGTCTAAATATTAACGTCTGCTCTCAGAGACGCTGCAATACATTTAAAAAAAAACATTTGACGTTTGACAGCTGTCATAGTGACATAACTAGTGATGTGAACAAATTAATCTGTGTTTTTCGATTATATCGATATTCGATATACGATTATTTTATTTATTGTTATTGAATATTGAAATTTGCAGTTTTTTTTAAGTTTTACTAAGAATAAAAATGTAAAATATAAAAAAAAATAAGTTAGTGGACAGTGTTGAAGCGTCCCTAATTGCAAGATACAACCTTAATTATGGCAACAAAACTCGTTATATCCTTAAAGCTATTTGGCACCAGAAATATGAGAGGTCACGGTATCGTGGCTGGCAACACTCAATGTATTATCTATATTACGTATTCTAATAATTCTCTTTGTTACTAAGCAAATCACAGAATAATGGAATTAATGAATTTGTTGGCTCCGTTAATACTTTTAAAACTAAAATAATGTGTATTTGTTAAGGCTAATTCTCTGGAATGTGTAAATATTGTACAATATTTCAGTAAAGTAACATTTCATGGAAATGTTACCATCCTAATTTTCGAGGTAATATTTAAATTTGTTCATTATTTATTTGTTATGGCAAGACTTGCGAGTTAGTGAAAAATATGAATTCAATTTTACGTAAAAACGTGAATATTTTTACTAATTTTGTATACCCCAAAAATAAGCTTGGTCCATATATTTTTATGTTATTGGAAAAGTAAATATTTTGCAAAGATAAAGGCTATTTATATGAAAAATCAATAGCGTGGACGGCAAAATAATCTTTAAATTTTTTTATCTGCTTTAAATAGAACTTTTAAACTCACGGCATCTTGAAAGCTATATAAAATAAACATGATTTATAACTAAATCTTATAAAGTATAAAAAGTTTGTTTATATAATAATTAATTACATACGTTTTAGTCAGATTAAAATTTAGTGAACATTTTCTAACTAGATTTTATTAAAATTTATTATGAATATTTTATTTCATCTAAAGTTAGTATATTATATTTGTATAAAATTTTAACAATTTTGTAGGCGTCGTTTCCGCTATGCCTATAAAGATGGCGCTTTAGAAACAACGCCATCTAGCGAGCAGATTGTTAATATTGAAAAATCTTACTATTAAACTGTATTCGAAAAGGCTGTGCCGTATTTTAATATATTTAAGAACTGTTATTTATTCTTTTAAGATAAAGAAAAAAGATTATACATGCAGTAAACAACTTTTACCATAAACAATCAGATGCAATCCGTAGGGATGTTCGATGGCTGTCGATGTTATTGTATCGATATTCGATATCGATTTAAATCGATTTTATGAACACTTTTTTTTTGCTAAATTATCACCAATCATGATTGTGTCTATATTACAGCCAACATTTTTTTATGAAACCAAACAAAAGAATTATTAACAAAAAATACTGTTAAAGTGAAGTTTAAAATATCGATTCTTTCTATCGATAATTGTTATAAATCAACATCGATATTAATTTATATTTTTCCATCGACCATCCCTAGTGCGCATCAACAAACCTACTAAACTTTCTATAACTTCATTACTAATATAAAAATATAAAACTAATGTACTAGGAATAATGTAGTAAATAGTTCGCATTAAGCAAACTAACATAACTAAAAGTAGATATTTATATTTGATATGGTTTGTCTTATATTCTAAAAACTAAAGTTAATAGAATTTCGCTGAAACATCGATAATCGATGAATTTAAAAATCGATTATCGGACAGAGAAATTCTAATAATTCGTTAAAAGTTTCGATTAAGATTTGTTCGTAAATATGGTACATTTGATGTTATAAAAAACATAAGTCAGAGGGGTCAACAACATTTTGATAGGAAGACGCGAGACCCGAACTCCTTTGGGCTTGTGGCAGTGTTCGTCTAAGTCTTTTGAATCACCCTTTAATACAACCAGTACTCAATTACTAAGCTTTTTTTCATACGATATTAATATTATAACGTTTTATTCACAATACTATAGAAGTGCTACTCTTTTATAAATTAGAGAAAAAACCAAATAGAACATTTTGGATGTTGCTCATTGATTATAGGAAAATAGACTTTAAATGTAGAAGATTAAAGTCCATTTTGAGATGTTTAGTTTTGAGTATCACTTGTATAATATTGAGCAAGATTACGCTAAAGTTCAGTCCGGAGTATGAGGAGCGCAGCGTGCGGCGCGGGGGGCGCGGTGGGCGCAGTGGGTGCGGTGGGTGCAGTGGGTGTGCGGGGGGTGCGTGACGCGCGGAACTGCGCGTGCACAGCATCCCAGCGCGCGTCGCGAGTCATGCCCGCCGCCGGGTCCGCGCGCCCACCACGTCTCCGCCCCCTGCGATGCACACGCCCCCTGCTGGTGCCCGCCGTCACACCTGGTTCCATCTCGTCCTGAAATTACAATAAGTTTATTTCTCACTAGATGTCGCCCGCGACTCCGTCCACGCAGAATTAAGTAGCCTATGTGATAGTTTTTCAGACTATTTTATATACTTATGCCAAATTTTATGAAGATCCATTCGGCCGAAATGAAACCTTTAAGTAGATGGCGCTAGTGTCAAGATTGGGCTGTCATCTGTCAATTTTTTTCTGGCAATTACATAAAAGTGTATTCCTATAATTATTTTGTGATAGTACCGACCTGCTAGAAAATCTTGTCGAGTATAGTGTACATGCGTAGGTTGGCATTCTTGCGGCAGCCGGGCGGCAGCGGGTGCAGCGCGGGCGCAGGCTCTACGTCACTGTCATCTTCATTAGCACCAGGACCGCACGGCCGCTTCTCCATCTCCACGCTGCTGCAGCTTGCCGCACTGTGCCCGCCCACTGCCGCCTCCGCCCCACTTCTGCGTCTTGTGGCCAGCCGTCGCGCCATCACGAATGCTGCTATCTACAATTACACTATGAATCACTTCACAATCCTACAACATAACTCACTTCTGTAACCCAGAGGGGTAGGCAGACACCACAGATTTTGTTACATTCTTTTATCACCTAGTTAAAGACCACAGACCTGCAAAACCATTCCGACGACACCAAATATCACGATGACGACAACATTGTTGGGCGCTTCTCTTTCCACTTCCTGAAAAAAACATGAGCAATTCCAAAATTAAAAAAAGAAAAACGTTGGCAACAACTGTCTGTAATGCAGGCCATGCACGTTAGATTTTAATCTTGCATACTTAGCGTGTATTGAATAAAACTGTATGTGTGTGGCCTGCATTTTATTATTTCAGATTACTTACCTCAATAATGTCGTAAATTGGTCTGGCGATGTCCCTGTACCGTTCGACAGCGAGCAATGCAGGCTTAAGATCGTGCACGAGGTCCATTGCGCGGCGCGCCAGCTCTGCTTGTGGGGCGCTGCGCCACCACGCAGCAAGGGATGCCGCCATCCAAGCGCCGTACGCAACCTCACTCACTGCGAGGCACGCCACACCGCCCGCGTACTGAAATCAACATAATATACAGGTTGTTAACAAAAAAATCCCGACAGACTGTACCCTAATAAGAATTCGAACAGAGTAACAATAGAATTGACATACGTACAAAGCCGCATACATAAAAATACTTATATAGCCATGAAATACATGGGCATCGCCAGCTGATGATCTAGACTAAGTCTAGGGGGGCAGCTATCATTAATATGGTCTTATTTGAAGTAGTGTTTATATCTATTTCACATTTTTAAATACTCAAGAGGAGGAACTGCACCTCTCCCCTCAGAAAGCGACGTCCATGGCAGTCAAATATTCGGTCAGTCAGGCAATTGTTTTTTCTTATCATAATTTTTTTAGGTGAACATATTAAACTCTTTCTTCATTTACCTGTATAACGAATCAATAAAAAAAATGGTTTTCCCCGGTCACTAATAACTGTTGATAAACACGCGATTTTCGATTAGCAAATGAAGCTAGCCAACACCCTGAATTTTTTTTAATGTTCCAACAGTTTATTAAATGGCCAGTTACACCATTAAAAAAACAACTATCTTATAGCAACACTGAGGTCACAGTAGGTAACTCTTGGTACTAATTAGACGAATTAGATTGGCTTAAGTCTCTCTGAGTCAGAAATTTTTGCCCCAAATATCAAGCCGGTCTGTATGTTACAATCTCTTGTATTACCTCTATTAAGATTTACACTTTGGAATTGTAAACATGAATTTGTTTATATACAATTTAACGTAGATATCAACTACTAAAACTTCCGTACAAAAACATTATTATTTCAGATTTCACAAAGAAAAAACAACTACAATACAATTTAGTTTAGTAGTTCAATTTAATGTTTGTTTACAATCGCGACCGCCCAGGGCAGTAAACAGAAAAGGGAGCCACAGTTCGACACGGTAAAAAAGGGGCAATATGGAAAGCTCGCCTAGGCCGTTGGTAACCCTTAATAAATCTAAATTAATTTGATAATAAGTATACATACAATATGGAGGCAGGCGGCACGTCGCGCGGCAGCCGCGATGTAAACCAGTGCGATGAGCCAAAGCCCTGCCAACAGGACGTACGCGGCGGACACCCGGTACTGAGCCGCGCACAGGAATCTAAACCACGTGTATGTGCTGGGATCCCACGCCAGCCTCGCAGCAGTCGCCAGCAGCGCCCCAGCGTACATCTATACATAACAAACTATCAGACAAACTCTAATACCTTTAAATCTAAGCTTAAGGATCTGTACCTCGAAAGATTACCAAAAATGTACAGAAACCCCGACGCTCGTTTGCGCTCTTTTCTTATAAAAAAAAAAGAAAAACAACTGACAGTTTTAATTAAAACAGCCAGTGACAGATGTCATAATTTCTTATATTGAATTCGACTAACGTCACTCACTCGGGATTGAAACGCCCTGAAATATGGTCGTGTATTTTTAATCTGACAGTGGGGGGGGGGGGTAATATAAGTAGCCCTAAAGAATTGATCTATTTCAAAATGTAAGGTTTCATTGCATTGGTCTTCTTCCCGCGTTTAATATAAGGGTAAGGCTTCTTTGTTTTTTACTTAATTGCTAGTAATTTTCTTCGTCATCATGAGGCATTTCCTTTCATATCGATCCAATTTTTTTAATATTAAAAGCGGCCACCTAAATCCGCCAAAGCGACCCCTATACTTCCACAAATACACAACGTTGCCTATCTTTAATCGACAGAGGAAGGGACAGAAAGAAAATATTTCTCAAAACCCCGTATATCCGTGTTCATGAAGCCTTTAGTATATCTGATCAATTAAATAACGATTAAATGCTAAACTAAAATGGGAATATGATACAGATGACTGCGACATGAAAACAAATACGTCATTTCCCATGGGAATCTATAAAGGACACTTGTCGACTTTCCCTTGTGCCTTGTGACGTCATCAATCGCCAGGAATGCATTGCATGTGTTCAATTGCGTCACACTTATGTCTTCCTAGTAGATTAAGAACATCTGATGTTTCCGTCTTATACAAAAACTTGAATAAAAACATATATAATCCGTATGTGTAACATACTGTTAGAATCTGTAATATCACGATTCCTTACGTGTACAGTTTTGTTCAAATTCTTTTGTTAATGACATTCTAATTGTCAACTTGGTAATAATATAATTTTGTTCTGATTGTCTTTGGTTATAGGATAATTTAAGCCATATATAATGAAGTATATAATTCCATATTAGTCCATAACATATGTCATAAATGACATACAGCGTTTAAGTATATTACTAACTCGTACAAAGGTCAATATACAATTAGTCACAAATTAAACAAAGACTTATTTATATACACGAATTATCGAAATTACCATTTTATATAGGTATTTCCATTTTGCAAACATTTCGCTTGGCACAGGACAGGAAAGGGTTCGCTGAGCTGACGGCCAACCTCCAGTAATGGAGAGGCATTAGAAGAAGAAGAAGAAGAAACATTTCGTCAGTTTAAGTGTCCTCGTTTTGATAAGTTTATGTTAAGTTACGTATACCAAAAGAAGAAAGATTATATGGTAATAGAGAAAGTAAGTTTGGTAGTTGGACTCAGTCCACGCAGGATTAAATGAAAACTTATTAAGTAGTCAAAGTGTCCTTCCAGACTATGTTCTACATCTATTCCAAATTTCAGCGAGATCCATGCAGCCGTTCTAGAAATATCTTCTTACAAACATCCATCCAAATTTTCGCATATATTAGTAACATAAACATTAATTAACATGCTTGCTTATTTTTTTTATAATGAAAATTCTCATTTACACCTAAAATATTTTAAAACATATAAAAAAAACAAATTTGTAGTAAACAGTCTCGTATAGATTTCCAGTTTAATTTAATTACGTAGTTCAAGTTCATTGCAAATTATTACTAGTTGTCGTAAGTCGGCATCACCTGTACATTAGATTATTGGGTTTTAATTTATTTTTTTCATTAGAAATGTTAATTTATATCAAATATTCGTTTGATTAATATTTATGTGTTTTTGTCAATTATAATTTTATAAATATAATTTTTAAAAAAATTTACTCATATAAAACGGCTAAACACTCACTTATATTCGTCCGGTGGCGGTACCGACTAGTTACGAGCCCATCAGGGGCTCTTCATCAGGGTAAGTGGGCCGATGGGCTCGAAACTAGTCGGTGCCGCCACCGGACGAATATACGTGAGTGTTTAGCCGTGTCTATATAAGTCTATTATAATGTCTCACTAAAGTTTGAATAATTTAATTAAAAAAATGTTTACTGTTCTAAAGGATCCATCATCAGCTCACTATACGTCGCCACTGAGGGGCTCGGAGCCTACCCTAAGTTAGTGACTAGGCCATAGTCAATGCTGGCCCATTGCGTGTTGACCTCACACATATCTTTGAATTTCTTCTCAGATGTATACAGATTGCATCGCGATGTTTTAAAGGGTTGTACATAAATGCGTATTAAAAATAAAGATTAATAAACAATGAAAATTAAAAATAAACTACAACACCGCACAGATAAACATTCGTAATATTAATTAATTATTCCTTTGTTTTCTGTTCGATTGTATTCAAATGTTATATACTTAAATAGGTAAATTACTTATCATATGTATATAACATTATTTACATCATAATATGCGTCTAATTATTTATTACGATGTAAAAATTACCGTGGGTTTCTGAGACTAAAATGTTCGTATAAAACATATAGTCATGTCTGTCATTGTATTGTGAACATTGTTTTAGACGGAGATTTTGTTTTCAGAAACCCACGGTTATTAGTTGTTTTTATGTTAATCATATAAAAGTGTGCACCTTTTTTAACGAATAAGATTTTTTCAGTATCATAAATATTAAGATTACTGCATAAATATATTTTATTTTATCTTATATATTATATAAAATATCGTGTCACAATTTTCGTTCCCATATTCCTACGAAACGGCTTGACCGATTCTCATGAAATTTTGTGAGCATATTGAGTAGGTCTGACAATCGGCCAACATCTATTTTCAATCCCGCGCGGACGGAGTCGCGAGCGACAGCTAGTGATATATAAATCTGCCCCTGCATTTTTATAATACACAAGCCGTTGCCCACGATTACGTCGGCTTAATTTTTTTTAATAGTAGCCTGTGTTCTTCCACACTGTTCTACATATATGGCAAACAGCGAAATACATGCACCCGTTCTTGAGAAATATTGTTACAGGCATAAAAACGTTCATTCTTCAGTAATGAAAGCATCGTTATTCTCAATGAAATACCAACTGTCGACTGATCATGTTTAATCAGAGGTGAAGAGGTTAGTTGAATCAATCGGTCCTCTTTCGGTCTTCTAGCAGACGTCCAATGAGAGACAGACACTCATTGATGCTTTATCGACCTCTGGAATGCGGTGTGAGGTAAGGAGGTCGAGTGAGGCCTACTCTATAAGCCCATTGTATCACATCTTCGTATATCTTTTACAGTTTTCGACTGCATTGTGTCAAAGATAGTGTGTGGGATGATAATATCTATATATAAAAATTAATTGTTGTTCGTTAGTGTCTCTAAAACTCGAGAACGACTGAATGGATTTATCTTATCTTGGTCTTGTAATGTTCGTGGAGGTTATAGGGAAGTTTTTAAAAGGTGAGAAAAAATCGAATAATTGCCTTTTTTTCAATTACTCGCTGACGGAGTCGTGGGCGACAGCTAGTGTGTCAGTAAAAGTGTGACAGTGGTGAACAACTATTAGATTCTAAAGCATCGACAAACCTTTACTTACCAACTATTAAACGTATTACGTATGTGCCATCAAATAATTTTTACTTAGTAACTGACTCAAGTTCGCTTGTTCAGATATTTTACACTTTTTTATTTGTGAATTTTGATTTCTTATTGCATAATTTGTGATCCGCAATGTGCCCGAAATATTGTGACGCGTGCCAATGGTTGACCATCCCTGTTAAAAACAACCAGTAATTTCAGACATGTAGACTCGAGAAAGTACATTCTTACCTAGGTGAGAATTTCACAAACTATATCCAAAACGAATCAAAATGGAATACTAGACTTTGTAATTTAATTTAATTTCTGTGTGTTCCTTCCTCTGTTAATTAAAGGTAGGCAACGCATCTGCAATTGCAAATGTCTACAGGCAGTCTCTTTGCTATTATAGCGAATCAGGTGGTCGCTTGGTCGTTTGCCACCTCATATTTAAAAAAAATGTTGTGTAATTTCGTAGTTTAACTTTCCTGTTAATTTTTTTCTCAATCTTTTTAAACTGTTTTTCCTGCTTTTACCACAAGTATGCAAAACAGATGTTATATTTTAAACTGTAATATTTTTCTGTTTCTGTAAGCACGACCTACTTGTTTGTCGGACGACGGGTATAAATATTTAGTTCACCGTACGGGTACATTGTACAAAAACAACATCATGGACTTTAAATTTTTCTAAGGTTACACTATTGATGAAAATATTAATTTGCCCACAAAAAACAATACATATCTCTCGTATATTATTGTTAGGATGGATGGATGGATGTTTGTTTGAAGGTATTTGGAGAACGACTTCAAGAATCTTGCTGAATTTTGGCATAGAACTTAGACTGGAACACATAAGCTACTATTTTTTTTAATAACGCGCGGACGGAGTCGCGGGTGACAGCTAGTATATTAATATAGAATGCATTACCAATGTAAACAACATATCGATATTTGACACTAGATTTGTGTGGTCTCTACAGTTAAGATAAATGTAGAATTCCACTGCCGCGAAACTTGCAGTGACGCCTATTGATGTCTCTATTTTGATACAAAAATGATAGGGAATACAATGAAGTATCAGAGCAGTGGAAGACCACAGTAAGATGAGCCAAAGCTCTTATTCGGGCGTCAGTTTACATAAAGGATTTGCTCTATGTCTATCTTACTAATATTATAAATGTTTAGATGTATGTTTGTTTGAAGGTATCTCCAAAACGGCGGTACGGATCTTGATGAAATTTAGCATACATATAGAGCATAGTCTGGAAGACCACATAGACTACTAATTATGTTTTTTTTAATTCCGCGCGGACGGAGTCGCGTGCAACAGCTAGTTAATACATAAAGCATTCACACCCTAAACTTTATGGTGTCGGCAAAGTTTTGGTAAAGAAAAGTAGGAGGAGGTTTTGATTTGGCAC